CCAGTGAATCTCTGCCTTGGCTATGAGAGAAGAGGTTGATGACTTGAGGGGACACAGAGTCAAGGTAAGGGATTTTAGTTTGCTTTTGAGCATAATAGCATCTTTTTTTTTTACTTTTTTATTTTTTAAAAATTATTTATTTGTTTATTTGTTTATTTATTTATTTATTTATTTATTTATTTATTTATTTATTTATTTATTTATTTATTTATTTATTTATGATAGTCACACAGAGAGAGAGAGAGAGAGGGGCAGAGACACAGGCAGAGGGAGAAGCAGGCTCCATGCACTGGGAGCCCGACGTGGGACTCGATCCCGGGTCTCCAGGATCGCGCCCTGGGCCAAAGGCAGGCGCCAAACCACTGCGCCACCCAGCGATCCCAGCATCTTTTTTTTAAGCATGTTCCATCTCTGTATACTGTACTGGGTGCTTTTATATACATTCTCTTGCTCCAAGTTGGGTGCTACATTTCCATTTTATGAGATTAAGTAACTTACTCAGGCTTAATATTAGCAGTACAGCAAGATTTTATACCTAAGTCTTTCTAACTCCTATGTTCTTTTTGTACCTCACACTGGCTCAAAAGAGTTAAGAAACCTGAGCTACTAAAACACTAGAAGTACTGGGTTCACCTAGGAAGTTTGCTAGCATGCAGACTTCTAGCCCCTTCCCTATAGATTTATGTTCTAAAGACTCAAGAATCTGAATTTTTAGGAAGTATTCTAGGAGAGTCATGCGTATTGTCCTTGGTTGCATTTTGGAAAACAGTAGTACGAAGGGACTGAGAATTTTTCTGTCCTAGAAAGCTTGTTCGATAAGCCAGCTCCTAAGCCGAAATCTTGCATTTTAGAGACTTACTGATGTTAGCACATGATTTTGATGAGCCTCTGCAAAATTTTCCATTGTGAAAATATATATTTCTCTTTCATATAGTTTTGTTTCTGCAGTGATGAACTGAGGAGCTTTTGAAAGTACTTAACTCTTCTGATCTCAGTTACCTTATCTGTAAAATGGGCACAAAAATACCTAGTTCAGAGGGCTATTGTGATGATTTAGTGTAGTAACATAGGTTTAAATAGTGTAGTGCAGTGTCCTGTATGTATTAAGTGCTAATGAAATGTTAATTGGTTTAAGTTTGGTCTTGCTAATTTTTATGCTGTGTTTTAGCTCTTTTTGAATTCTGATGCCTTGGTTTAAACTAATACGCTGTATTTTCCTAGTTACTCTTATGGTACATATTAAAGAGAAACATAACTTCATGTTTTTCTTCATAATGTCGGACACACCTTGAATTCCTAATAGTGCTCATCATTGCACTAGGTAGGCACTGTGCAAGATAAAGAACAATAGTCAGCATTTATAAAGTGCATCCTTTGTATCAGGATCTATGTTAGCATCTTTACATGTTTTTATCTCATTTACGCTCACAATAACCCTATGAAATAGATACTGTCCTATTTTATGGATGAGGAAATTGGGACTCAAGAACTTGGCCAAAGCCACTCAGCTAATAAAGTGACTGAGCTAGGACCTGACATGATATTTTAAAGGATTGTTCTTCAAACATGTTTGCCCAATCTTAAAATGTTTAAAAAATTACTGCATTCTTTGTGTATTTTAAAATTAAAAATTTTTCGTAATAAAATTTTGTTAAAAAAATTCACCCAAGAGCATTTGAAAATCTAATTGGCTGAATTGGGTAGCGTCCACCTAGCAGGTAGAGGGGAGCTCCAAAGTTGTGCAAAAGGGAAGGTTTTTATTGGAAGGAGGGAGAGTAGGGCAAAAAGTTATTAGTGAAAGAAAAGATTATTTCAGCCCTGGACTTCTTTCCTTAGGGGGAAGAACATGGAGTCATAGGTGGATTACCTCATCTTTTCTTTGGGGGAGAGACCCCAGGTTACCTTGTTGGTGCCAACCAGAAAATCCAGTTTGTTTGGCTTAAAATTTCACTCCTGGAGAGGTTGAGACTGCAATTAAATCTTGATTTGCTGTCCTGGGGGACAAGTGACTCTACCTTGGCCTTTAGTTTTCTTTTTAACAGTTTAAATAATTGTAAAGAATAATTCTTACTGTGTTGTAAATATTGATATAAAAAATATATGCTTTCACCCAGTAGGATCTAAATACCCACTATTATAATTTAAAAATGCTTGAACAAGCTCTTCATCAGTAGTTGGAGACAACATTGTATCTTTTCGCGTTGAACTCCTATGTCCATCTTTCTTTGCAGAACTTTATCTTAATTTATATATTTTATGCTTAAGACTTCTATTGATCATGCTATGATTTCTCTTCAATAAAAACATGTAACTAAGTTGAAATCGATCATATTTAAAAATTTACTGTTAGTGTCCAGCTTTATTTTGTATTTAAGTAAATATTTCCTTTTAATTCCCTTTTAAAATTTAATTCCTTTTAATTCTCATTTTAATTCCTTTAATGATTTCTTCACTTGATGTCTTTTAAGTTTTTTAAGTAATTTCCTTAATTCCTTTGAGGGCTTACCATATTGATCTTATCAGTGTTTCCTTCAGATAATCATTAGGCTTTAAGTGTTAACATTTTTTCTCTGGATTGTGTTGTAACAAGTGTGCCGTTGATCAAAACCATATAAATATATGTTTGAAAAATTGAACATAAAAACTTCTATTGGAAATACATTTTTTAAATGATGTAGGTAGGTGGTTTCTGCCTTTTCCTGATTAGTTCGTGTGCCCATAAGTGAATATACTTACTAGAATATGATAGGGCTTACCATAAATTTCATTCTAAATTTTTTAAATAACTATAAGCTTGAGGCATAAATAAGTAGATGAGAATTGAAGGGATTTTGTAGTAGCAACTTCAGTTAGTTCTTTGACTTGTAGTGTTCTGACCAAAATACATTCTATAGCAAACATATTGCTTGTGCTGCCTGGAGATTTTCATACTTAGGCAGTGCACAAAGGAGGATTTGGGAAGGGAAATGATAGGTCTTGTTGGATAAGTAGAAGATGGGAAATTGTACAAGGGAATATGGGAATGGAGATCCAACATAGTGCCATTGTTAAATACTCTTCTCAGGAAGGTCAGTTGTAGAACAGAATATATTTTTGGATTGAGGATCTGGATGTGTTTACCTTAAAACCACCCATGCCCGTGTGCTTTGCAGAAAGTGTAGGATTACACAAACACCAGCATGAAGAGAGCCTTTTAAAGTAGTAACTTCCAGTGATAAAATGTGAGTTGGTTTAATGTCAACATTCAACATTAAGTTGTAGGCCAAGAATTATGACACTGCTATTCATCATAGTATGCAGGAGGTACCTTACATATAAACTGTCATTTAATAAACATTTGTTATTTAATTTTAAAAAGTACCTTGTCTGGGACACCTGGGTGGCTCGGCGGTTGAGCGTCTGCCTTTGGCTCAGGGTGTGATCCTGGAGTCCCAGGATTAAGTCCCACATCGGGCTCCTTGCATGGAGCCTGCATCTCCTCCCTCTGCCTGTGTCTCTGCCTCTTTTTCTGTGTCTCTCATGAATAAATAAAATTAAAAAAAAATACATTGTCAAGAAATATATTTATTCTATTAACTATATTTACATCCATTCTGTCTTCTGCTGTAGTCTGGTTTGCCTTACCATGCCATGGAAACTGCTCTCAGTGGGATCACCCATACCCTAAATATCACAAAATCCAGTGGACATTTAAAATCTTTGGCCTCTTGTTACCTTTTATTGCACTGAACTCTTTTTATAATTGTCTTTCCATGATTTTCTGGGATGTAAGACTTTCTTGATTTTCCTTCTTGCTCTCCATTTGCTTTTTTCTAGTTTATTTCGCAGGTTCCTCAAGCAGGCTCTACCCCCAACCTGATCATGACCCGAGCTGAAATAGAGAGTCAGATGACCAACCGACTCTTAATTCTAAAAACGTTGTCTCTCCTCATCCTAGGGCTTCATTGACCCCCTGGATTCATAATGCCCTTCCATATCATCAACCCAGATGACTCTCCTGACATCTAGATCAGAATATCTGGCTGCCTTATGGACATCTCCGCCCAAATGTCTCCTCACATGTACTCTTTGGAACTGAGCTCTTGAGCTTCCCCTAACCTGCTTCTCCAGGTTTTTTCCTCAGTAAATGGCACTACTAGTTAACCTGTTGTCTAAGCCTCCAACCCAGAAGTCGTTCTTCATTCCTCCTTTATTTCTCATGACGCCAATTAATTCTACTTCCTAATATTCTACAAAAATCTGTGCACTTCTGACTATCCTCAGTGTCACTGTCCTCACCCAACCAATTTTCCTGGCTTCCCTGGCTCAGAACGGTTTTGTGCCTGAGTTTTGCTTTCTTCCCATGCATGCAACTCAGTGTGTTCGCAGAAGTGGTTCACCAAAAGTTCTAATCTCATCATGGTGCCCTTGCTTAAAATCTTTCAGTGGCTTCACTTTGCTCTTGAGGTAAATGTCAGACTTCTTAACATGAATTATAAGGCCATTTGGATTTCATTGTCCCTTATCTATGTAGTCTTACCTCTGGCTCATCACCATGACACTAGCACACTGCTAGAGCCTAATTTCCCTCTCAAAAAGTTTTGTGTTTCAAATATGTGGGCTTGCACTCTCTGACCTCTGCTTTCTTTGAATCCTCCACATGTTATTATCTCTGTGTGGACTCCTTTGCTTGGTTAACTCCTCAGCCTTCTCTGGTCTCACCTTTAAATAGCACTTCCTCAATGTGGCCTATCTTGGATCTCTAGATTAGGTTCTTTTACATGCTCAAATAGTACTGTATTTCCTTTTTCATGTAGCTTCATCACACCTTGATGCATGTGTCTGTCACAGTAAAACTATTTTCTAAACTTCATAAGGATGGGGAGTCTTTACTATGGACTCTGCTTTCCTTATCCCTAGTGTCTGACTTACATATGAGCATATTCAGCATCTTTGAATAAGTTAACAATTTTGAGTTCTTGTTTCTGTGATTTCAAAATGCACTTGGTTTTTCTCTTTAGTGTCTCAATGAGATCCTGGAGTCGGCAGATGCACCTTTAGAAGTCACTGAAGGATTCATACAGTCAATTTCTCTGTCAGTTCCATGGGGCTCCTTGCTGCAGGATAATTGTGCACTGGAAGTGAAAGGGCTAGAAATGGTCTTCCGGCCTAGACCCCGCCTAGGTAGGTGTGTTATGTGTTTCTGTTCTGTTTGTTTCTATTTGTATTCTTCACAGATTGGGAAAGTAACCTAATTGCATTAAACCCGGTATTACTTAACATTATATTGGTGAGATTTTCAGCAGATAAAATATTAGGACTTGGGGGTGTGTGATTTTATATTTAGAGTTACTTCTTGCCTTACTTACCCATGGTAACTTTAGTATACTGATGATTTGGTTTAATTATTTGTTACCGATCATATAAAGTGACTGTGTTGTAAAATTTTAAAGTATTATGCCAGAAACAAGGGAAATGCTTAAAGATTAATGGAGAAATGTTAAAAGGACTGAGGATTGGGCTTATAGGTGCTCTTGTTGGCCAAATCTGGAATAATGACAATAAGTGGATTATAAATTAAAAAAACAACCCTAAGTCCATATTGTTACAAATAAGTAATCCGTATGTAAGGGAGGCAGGAAGAAGGGAAAGCTCTGTATGCAGTAGAATATCTACTTACTAGAGTAGACAAATTGATAGATCATTACCATGTTTTGGCCACCATGGTAAAAAAAAATTGGTACAGGTGGTAATCATCAATGAATGGTAATCTCATTTGGTGAAAAGTTGTTGAGGAACTTGATATTGAGATATATCAACATACTTCATTGATTATGTGTTATTTACAGAGAGAAAAATGTTTCTTTGATGGTGGAGGAAATTGATAGTCCCCACAACAACCTAGTGATCAAACTTAATCTCATCAGTAGTGGGCCAAACTGCCATGATGTATGTCCTGATGTGATGGCTGAAAAGGACACATCATATTATATACTGTTCTTGCTAAAAGTGCTTAAGCTGAATCAAATCATAAGACTTCAAGCAAATCCAAAATAAGGGAAATTCTCTAGATTAACTGGATGATACTCTTTAGAAGTTTCAGTTCATGAAAGACAAGAAAATAGAGTAATTGTGCCAGATTAAAGAAGAGTAAGACATGAGAAAGTGCAGTAGATAATCCTGTGTTTTTGTTATGAAGGATGTTATTGGGGCAGCTGGAAATTCGGATGTGGAATGTATAGAAAATAGTATTTTGTCAGTGCTAGGTTTGTTGGGTGTGTTCATGTAATTGAGCATTTGTAGGGGAATGTTCATATTCCTAGGAGTTACCTGCTGAAGTATTTAGGAGTGAGTGAGTGGGTGTTAGGATGCCTGCAGTTTGCCTTCAGATAGTTCAGCAAAAGAATGAGAATGGATGTGTGTACAGTTTTGACGAATCTAAGTGAAAGCTATGCAGGTGTTCATTATACTGTTTTTTCACCTCTTCCTTAGGATTGAAAACATTTAAAAGGACAGTTTAGGAGGGAAAAGCTTTAAAGTAGTAGCAAGTCATTATTTATAGGTATATCCATGTGGTAGCTTTACTCACATATATGCTGTTTTCTGACTTACCAAACACATATATGCATGCCAGATGCTGTTGTGAGTGCTCTGCCAATATTATTTTACCGTAGCTCTTTGAAATAGATACTATTCTCTCCATTTTATGGAGCCAGACATTGAAGCACGGGTAGATTCAGTAACTTGTCCACAGTCATTGCTCATTAAGTGGAAATTTGGTATCTCAACCCAGGCAGTCTAGTTCTGGAGTCCCTTCTTAACCACTGTGCCCTGTTGTAGTTCAGATTTTCTACATTGGAGTGTGTGTGTGTGTGTGTGTGTGTATATATATGTATGTGTGTTTTATAAGCCAGTAAGAGTCATGATGTAAATCATCTTAACTTCTGAATTTTTCAAGATTCTTTGAGTGGCAAGTGAAATTGGTCAAGACATACTTGAGGAATTATAATCCTAAGTGTTGTCTGAAACACCAGAGTTTAAATTATGCTTACTCGAATTAATAGCCCCTGTACTTTGAAAATTGGTAGTCTGTGCGTGAAAATCCTCCTTGATAATGGCATTTAATTAACAAGATTATTTTATTATTTTTAACCATGATGAGTAGAAAGAATAATACTTTCTTATGGAAAATCAAATATTCTCCTTTACTTGAAAAATACTCTGTGAAAAGGAAGGGGTTTTAAATTGCATTTTGGAAGACAGTAATTCTAACAATCTCAGTTTGTTTTGAATAATGTAAGGAAGTAAGTTCAATTCTCTGATGAGGGAATATCTGGAAAGGATTTTTCCCAGTTCACGTATCCCTCCCAGGATGTTCTTCTGTTTTATCTACATTTATACTGACCTTCTACAGCCTAGGTCAGATGCCACCTTAACCAGATTTCCTGTTAACTTCAGTTCGTGGGAAGAATTAACCTCCTAATTTAGCTGCCAGTATTTTCTGTTGACATTGCATAGTTGTTTACTAATCCTTCTTAAACATCTCCTTTCTTTCACTATATTGTAGGCTCTCAGAGGGCAGAATTAATGATTTTTCTGTCCCTACAGCAGGGTCAGCTAACAATGGTCTGCAGGCCAACTTTGATCTGACATTTTTTGTAAATAAATTTGTATTGGAACACTACCATACTCATTCATTTCCTTGTTCTCTCTGCCTGCTTTTGCACTAGAGAGAGTAGTCAGAGTAGACTGTAGGAACCATGGGGTCTAAACTGTTGACCATCTGATGCTCGCCAAAAAATCTGTTGACCCCATTCTAAAGTATTTTGAATAGTACCATGCATGCATTAAATACTTCTTGAATGAATTCATGAATTAATATTAGACATACATATCATTTAATGAGAGCACATGTCTCTGTACTTATTTCTGTGATTTTTCATTATTTCTTCTCAGTTATTATAAGGTGATATTTAAATCTCAAGAGTAATTTTTAGAGTATTGTATGCCTAGGTAATACTGTGATGTTAAATGTCTCTTGGAGGGTTAAGAGTTTATTTCAAATGTGGCATTTTAAGAAATCACTTTGTTGTAACTATGAGAAGTTATCTAGGATTAATCTATATTTTCTGCAGCAACTGGTTCTGAGCCTATGTATTGGTCAAGTTTCATGACCAGCAGTATGCAATTGGCAAAAGAATGTCTTAGCCAGAAATTAACAGATGAACAAGGAGAAGGATCTCAGCCTTTTGAAGGACTTGAAAAGTTTGCTGAAACCATTGAAACAGGTTTGGCATTATTGAGTATTTTCAAAAATTTTAGGGTGTGTGTGTGTGTGTGTGTAGGTGTGTGCACGTGTGTGTGTGAATTAGTACTGTTATTTAATAAGCCTTGTATAAGGAAAATCCATTGGAGTGATTTTTTTTTTTTAAGAAGTTACTGTTCTCCAGAACTTTGAGATTGAGGTTATTTTAAATATATCCAATTTAATTTCATGTTCTTTCGTTCCTTAGTTTCTACTGTTTATTTTACTTGTGTAAAGAAGGGTTTAGATTTCAGCAGAGTGTTAGGCCTTGCCAAGGTGTCTGTTGAGGTGTGTTGGCGTGGGTGCTCAGTAAGACACAATGTTTTTTACCAAACTTAAGATTTTGGAATTTTGAAGGAAAAAAATACAACTTTTGTATTTTCTAAGTTCTGTGTAAGGTAGCATTTATTCCTTTCATTAGAAGTTTTTATTGAGTATATGTGCGGTGTCATGTTGACAGTTACCTGTTTGTTCTAGTACTAAGAAGAGTAACAGTCACTTTTATAGACACAGTCTTGAGAATTGAACACGTGCCAGACAATTCCAAAACTGGAACTGCACTTGAGATTCGAATAGAAAGGTAAGATTTCTTATATCTGAGAATAAGTGGCCCTATTTCCTTTTATAAATAGTAAGATCTGACTTTCCTCAGATGCTTTTAGAGATTAGAAATGATGCTATTCAGTTACCATGTTGTGTGGTTTCTGGGTAAAGCGCGGCTTTCCAAGATACATTTTAATCCTATAATTGAAAACTTAAGGTACCAGTTGGGGTATAAGTATATAATACTGTGTGGAATTCAGAGCATATGATTCTCTTTTAGTAATATCAAGTAAAAATCATGAATATATGAGCACTGCTAAATTTAAGGCACTTCTGTTGGAGTTTTTTCATATGAGTGACACCCTGTTTCGGCATGTCTCATTACCTCGAAGGGCTTCTTTGCTTTCCTGTGCTTGATTTAAGTGCTGCTTACATGAGAAAGGCTGACTGGTTTTCTTTGAGAGGATTCTATGAGAGTATCTTAAGGTCAATATGTGTGATAGTGATTTACTTAAAAAGAAACCAGCACTTAGTTTTCTGTGTATGCTCACTTGGAACCCTATATTATCTACAAAACAGAGATTGATTCACATACATACTCCTGAGTGTCAATCTGAGGTAGTCACTGTTTTTTTTTTTTTCATTTTTGGTGGGCCCAAAGCAAAGTTTATTTAGAGTATGGTAACATACAGATAGTACGAAGTACGCAGAGTGGGAGGGGAACCCAAGAGGGTTGCCCTTGAGGCAGTCAGTGTTCATCTGTGTCTTAATGTGATATGAATGCCAACAGAAATGCATGGAATGAAGTGTGTGTACTGAGCACTAAAGACACTCTGTATAGGGAGCTGTTGGGGGCTTTTACCAAATTTTAAACAGATATGCTATGGTTTCTGTCTTTCTATCATCATAAAATTACCTATTAGTGAAATGGTTATTATTAACAGATTTTAAAAATTAGGTTGCATTCCCTGAAATGGTATATTAAAAAGTAAATAAAATTTCTTGTAGAACTACATTCTGTTTTTTGTTGAAACTGAAGTGTAGTCGTAAAAACTCAGAGTGGTCATAAGAATTCAAGAAATGTCATTCATGTCAGACTTAATGACTTAAAGCCAAATGCTGTCTCACTTTACCAGGAGATATTCATAAGGGAGCACAGGAATTGTTTTCCTTGAGGCTAACTTTAGGAAGTTATTAATTTTTTCCCCCAATAGGAGCCCCATAAAATTATCCTTCTTGAGGGTGAGGTCTCTTGGTCAAAACATTTCCTGTAGTAAAGCACAGTGATGCTGACCACATTCTAGACATTTTATAAGGAGTGCCAACGCTTGAAAAAACCTTTACTTTAAAAGTTACGTGTTTCTTTATATTTGCAAGTAGATTTTCTTAAGAGTTTATGGGATGCCTGGATGGCTCAGCGAGCTCTGCTTTCGGCTCAGGGTGTGATCCTGGAGTTCAGGGATCGAGTCCCACATCAGGTCCCTGAGGGGAGCCTGCTTCTCCTTCTCCTTCTCCCTCTGCCTAGGTCTCTGTCCGTCCCCCCCCCCCCCCCCCGTCATGAATAAATAAATAAAATCTTAAAAAAAAAAAGTTTTATGCCAGTGCTTTTTTGTCTTGAACTTTTAGAACTGTCTACTGTGATGAAGCTGCTGACGAGTCCTCAGGAATTAATGTGCATCAGCCCACAGCCTTTGCTCACAAGTTACTTCAGCTCTCCGGAGTATCTCTCTTCTGGGAGGAGTTTTCTGCGTCAGCAAAATCTTCCCCAGTGTGTTCAACTGCACCAGTGGTGAGAAAAACAAAAACACCAAACACTAAATGATAAATCTTTAAAATTAGGGGTCTTTGGGTGGCTCAGTCAGTTGAGCATCTGACTTGATTTTGGCTTAGGTCATGATCTCAGGGTTGTGAGATCAAGCCCATTACAGGCTCTGCACTGAGAATGGAGCCTGCTTAAGAGTCTATTTCTCCCTCTTCAAAAAACAAAGAAAACAAAGTAAATAAATAAATGTTTAAAGGAGGACTATTAAATTGTGCTAGGATATAAACTATGTGTTAGTGAGTTTCCAGCTGATCTGAAGTTAAAATATTCAGTAGTGGAGACCCACATTTCAGAGTTTTTAAAATACTCATATTTATGATCAGTGCCTTTCCTACCAGTGCTGGGTATAACATTGGGTACTGTGTCTTGAGGGGAAATGGTATATTAACAACTAATACTCTTTTATTATAAAAACGAAAGCAATGTTCATATTTACCTTACAGAATGAATTATTGAAAACTTATAAATCATATCTTAAAATTTTGTAATTAAGGAACTTTTTATTCATCCTTTCTAAGAGTAGAGAGTCCTTTTATAAATCAGTCCTTCCATAATTTATCTTTTACATTATTTCGGATTTTCATTATTATAGAATGTTGTTTTCTTATTGTTGTAATTTGAATAGATATTGTGCTTTTTTTCATAAAATCTTTTTCCGTGATTTTCCTTTATTACTACTGTGTTCCATGCTAGCTATAAGACACTGGTTTATTCATTGTCACATAATAAAATTTTTCATGTCCTATATTTTACTCTTCTTGACATTTGTATTTTGCATTTCAGTATATTTACACTAAGGTGTTTTAAAGAATTGCTTTATTCTTACTGCCTCATTGTAGGAAACTGAGCCAAAGCTGTCACCTAGCTGGAATCCCAAAATTGTTTATGAACCACACCCACAACTAACTAGAAATTTACCAGAGGTAGCACCCTCTGACCCAGTGCAGATTGGAGGGCTAATTGGTAGGCTGGAGTTGAGTCTCACATTGAAACAGAATGAAGTACTTCCTGGAGCTAAGGTCAGTATTTGTTTTATTTTCTAGTTAAAAACAAAAGAAAAGTATAAGTATTCTGTAATGTGTGCAGTGACCCACGGATTGACTACTGTGTGTTGTCCTGTAACTATGGCACCCTCTGTCCTGGAGTCTGTGTTCTTACTCTCTGCTGTCTCTGACCTTAGGTCTTAGGACCTCATGTGAGGACTATCTCTCATACTTCTGCTTAGGCTCAGGTGTTATTAGCACTGTGTCCTGCACTCACTTTCCCCCATGCTAGCAGTTCAGAAACATTTGTGAGTTAATAAGGAATTTATTAAAGACTCTTTCATAACATTCAGTTTAAAGGAGAAGAGATTTGGAAAGTAAGAAGTTGACCATAGAAGGTGTTTAATTTGTATGCATGTAAAAATGCCCACCTAGATGGGTTTTGAGCAGAATGGCCGTTTTTATAGTTGTATAATATTTATGAAAAGAGATTTATTATTTTTTCATGTTTCATGGCTTTTTGAAGTCACTGTAAAGACAACTGCACTTATTTCTCACAGAAAAGTATTGAATAGTCTGCTGGAGAATCAGGAAGCCTATATTTAGTCTGTTAAAACTGTGTTTGTGAAGTGTTATTTTCACACTTTGAAAACTAATTTTTTATATAATCTCTGTAAAATGTAGTTTAAATTAAGAAAATATCAGGATTTCATTTGTTTACCCACTGGGCTAACTAGCTGTAGGTGTTTGAGGGACTACTGTATGCCAGGCTCTGATATAGAGAAGAGTGGAATACTATCTTTACCTTAATACAATGTATAGTAAGGGGTATAGAAATTGCTGTGGGGACCTGGAAGAGGGAGCAGCTGAGTACAGAGGATTGAGGATCTCCAGCAATCCGTCCTTGGATTGGCATGCCTGGCTATAGTTGGAGTCAGAGGATGGTGGTGATCAGAATGCCAACCTTCCTCTTGCTGAGGACTCCCTCTCCTTTGTTTACTGCTGTCTCCTACCTCAGGCAGTATGAAATCCTTTCACCAGGTCTTAAGCCTGTTCATTGGATAACATGAAAGCCATATAAGTATGTTTAAACACTACAGGGAATCCCGTGATGGGCTAATAACATCCTTCGGAACCTAACACACCCATGTCTCTGGGGAATGCATTAGCTATTTCTCTAAGAAGGAAGAACCACAATAGTCACTTTTATAGTTCTGTTTTAAATTTTGTATGTTTGATCTTTGTACAAACCTGAACTTTTGCACATTATATGTTGGTTTGTATAAGTACCTTTTAGATGTTACTTTTGGACATATGTGTATTAGGTGACAAATGAACATCTGGAATTCTAGCATGGCATTTTTTGCCGGCTAGTATTTGATATTCAGAGATTGTACTCTCCTTGCCTACATGGTAACATTTGTATAGTAACTTGAGTTTGAGTACCTTTTGTTCTTATTTAAGGAAAATGAAGGCTAAATAGAAAAATAAAAGTTCTAGATACTAGCTTTGAGAAATGTAAATCACATAAATACTGTGTAGTTAAAGGTGGCATTGGTTAGGGATGCTCAGGTGTTAGATCTTTAGTCTCTCTGGGGTTCATTAGATCCACAGATCTTAACTGTGGGATCAAAATGTTATGAAAGATTTGGGGAGTGGCTCCTGGGTGACTGAGTCAGTTAAGCGTTGGACTCTTGATCTCGGCCCAGGTCATGATCTCAGGGTCATGAGATCCAGCCCCGGGTCAGGCTCCACACTTGGCATTCAGTCTGCTTGAGATTCTCTCCCTCTCCCTCCCCACCCCTTGCATGTGTGTGCACATGTACTCTCTTTCCTTCTTAAATAAATCAATCTTTAAAAAAATTTTTTTTTTTTAGTTCTCTGAGATGGTACCTATCCCAAATGATGTGTCAGCCTGATGGTTCACATGTTCAGTTTTAGCATATACTTTCAGGAATGCATCATGTAAGAAAATAGAGGAACTGTATGGACTGAATTTATAGACCTCTTGTTTAGTTACTGTGTCATATTGAATTTGAAATTCATTTTTTTAGTTATGTCCTATCTTTTCTATTTCCAGAGGAAAGTAATAGGTACTTTGTTCTTTGTATGCCAAACTTAGTATTGAAAACATAATCTCTGACCTTTATTAGGATGAATGATCAAGAGTTTCACTTCTAATGTTCATGAATATTATTTGCACATTCTAAGAAATGAAAAATCAAATTTTAAATTTGGCATTTAAGGGATGCCTGGGTGGCTCAGTGGTTGAGCTTAATAGGGCTCAGGTCATAATTCCGGGCTCCTGGGTTTGAGTCCCACATCATGCTCCCTGTGGGGAGCCTGCTTCTCCCTCTGCCTGTGTCTCTGCCTCTCTGTCTTTCATGAATAGATAAATAAAATCTTAAAAAAAAAAATTTGGTGTGTTAATCAGAAAGAGATTTTCCCACTGTCCTCAGACTAAACTCTTTGCTAATTCATGGTCTGGGATGGCAGCCGTCAGTAAGGAGCCCCATAAAAGAAATCTCCCATGGGCAGCTAGATAGCCATACCCTGAGAGGATGAGGACTTCCCATCTGGGTCAACCGAGGTTAAAATTCTGGCTCTGGGTCTGTAGATGGCCTTGTGTTGTAAATCTTTGTGAGCCTGTGTCCTTGTCTATAGAACAGGAACTTTATTAGAACAAATGGAAATGTAATAAAAACATAGTGCCCCAACACTCAGAAAAAGGTGATAGTGATGATTATTACTGGAGAATGTATTATATTCTCAGGTCAAGGAAGCTTCTTGGCATTATCATGTAATATTTTGGTTTTACAATCAGAAGAAATCCCCCTCCCCCCACCAGGAAGATACCATTTTCCAAATATAAATTTATTAATTCTTTCTAAATTGCAAAATAGCATAAGGATAACAGGAGTGTTAGCATTAGAACTAAGAGGAGGAGAGTGAAAAGTAAGGTAAGCATACTCAACTTGTTAGAATGTGGTGTAGAAAATAGAGTAATTGTTCTGTCAGAATATATACTCCATAGGAATAGATACGAGACTTGCTGGAGCTTTTATTTCTAGGAGGATAAGTGAACAACGATTTGGAAATGAGCAAGGAAGTCCACATGGCGCTCATTTCGTGGGCATCTCTGCTGTGGCCTGCACTGTCCTGCCCAGCAGAGAGTAGGCTTTGTGGGACACTGGGCATGTGCAAGGGCACACTGTTGGTAGGGGAGGGCCTCACATGTTCTGCTAGGGAGTTTTATCCATGGGCAGACTTGGGAAAGCCAACTTTATTTGCTCTGGTTTGAATCCCACTTTGAGGATTATGAGTTGAGTCTTGAGATCCTGATGGGAATGTATTCTGTGCTACTATCTTTAGTGTCTTCCACTGACTGTGACACAGGGCCTCCTCAAATACCTGACATACTCAGAAAACTCAGACAAAAAGTAAGACATTGGACTTGCCAACGTGGAATTTCTCAGGAGGATTTTCCATCTTAGAATAACAGTTTGGTGACCTTCAAGTCTTTTCATTTAGATTGAATTAATGGAGGGAATCTTAGGTGAAGGAATCCGAGACTAATCAGTATTCATCTCAGTACATTAAAGTATACTGGGATTTGTGGTGATGAGGTTTTAAAGAGTGTTATCCTGAATGGCTTTTTTTTTTTTTTTTGAAGTTGGATATTGATGGACAGATAGACTCTATTCATCTATTCCTGTCACCAAGGCAGGTGCACTTGCTTTTGGATATGTTAGCAGCTATTGCTGGACCAGGCAAGTATGGCAATAGGCAACTCTGTTGTTATTGTTTTTAATTATTTAAAACTTTTTAGATTCTGTGATTCCTAGCTAGCTGCTTAAAGCTACTGCATAGCCCTTATTAATATTAAATAATGGTAGTTCTGCGTTAACTGTGGCACGAAGTTGCTGTTGGTATGGACAAGTGGGTTTTGGGAGAGAGATGATTAAGTAACTCCAAATTTAATTACTGTTTTGCTTTCCTTTCTATACTTGTAGAAAATTCTAGCAAAATAGGGTTAGCTAATAAAGATAGAAAAAACCGACCCATGCAGCAGGAAGATGAATATCGAATTCAGATGGAATTAAACCGGTATTATTTGAGAAAAGATTCCCTTTCGGTGGGTGTGTCTTCAGAGCAAAGTTTTTATGAGACAGAATCTGCTCGTACACCTTCTAGCCGTGGTAAGTAACTAAAACAATTGACACTGGATTTCTACAGTGTCATCCTAGAGCAAAGTAAACTTAATTTGGCTGTTGCGAAATGGAGTTTAGTAATGAAAGAACAAGTTCCATGCTCTAAGAAGAACATTTCTAAGTTCATTTCTAAGTTCTAACCACAGCATTACAGGGAGGCACTGGCACAAATATCTTTCTGATTATGTATCTCATGTCTTGTAAATCAGGATTTTAAAAAAAAATTTTGTTCTAAGGACAATTTACAAAAATGCAGATTTACACAAAAGATAAATAGGGATAATTATTCATTTTTGTCAAATTCTTACATGCTTGTATAATGTATGGTTAGATGCCATTAAATATAAATCTTCTGTCAATTGTATACAGTCTTTACCCAGTTTACTTTGCATTTATAGGTGTTTCAGACTGTTTAAGCACTAATACCTTAAATAATAATGAAGTACAGAATGTTGAACTCGATAAATTAAGAACTAAAAAATTAAAGTCTATAAGAAATTTTGGCCATAATAAACCTCATTTGCTTGAGGGTAAAACAACCTCCAGAAATAAGTGAAATGTAAATAGAATTCGAAATAATATATTCAGGTTTTTTTTTTTTAAAGAAAGCATTGTATCCATATGAAACCAGAGATTACAAGTTCTTTATACTATTTTAAAGTTGGATTTTAACTTCTAAATTGTCATATGACACTAAAAAATACACCATGTAGTCCTGCAAATCCTATATCTAAGGAAAAAAAAAAAACAAATTCACCAATAGGATAGTATAACCTTTTTTGTTAACTTGTATTTGGTTGAGTTTTTACTATGTCTTTTATATCTTGGATCCTCACAGATTACCCCGTCAGAAGTAATGTAAAATTTAGGGCATCACTCTACTTCAGATAATTTGAAGGAAGTATATTAATGTATGTTAACTTACATAGATGTGGAAAAAAAAGAGTGAATTATACAATTGACAAGGTTAATTCTCTCTAGAAGAAGAAGTTTTCTTCTCCATGGCTGATATGGACATGTCTCATAGTCTCTCTTCTCTTCCACCTCTGGGAGACCCTCCAAATATGGACCTTGAGTTATCATTAACTAGTACATACACAAATACTCCAGCAGGATCTCCATTAAGTGCTACTGTGGTAAAGTATTATTTAAGTTTTGTTTGATTCTTGAAAGTGGCTTCTGAAATTCTACACTTTATTCATGTGATTTAAAAAAATTGTTTTACAGCTTCAGCCAACGTGGGGAGATTTCCTTGATCATCATAAAGAACAACCAGTAAGAGGGTCCACCTTGCCATCCAACCTAGTTCACCCACCAAATTTACAGAAGACTTGTAAGTAGTGTAAGACATTTTTTGATAGTTTCCCATTGGAATTTTAAGAAAATAAAAAAACAAATGGTTTCTAGAAAATGCCATTGTACTGCTGCTTTTCTCTCCATATTTTTTTTGATCTGGGCCATTTAACAAAAGTTTAGGAAGAAAATGTGAAGCAAGGTTTAACAGCTCACTGAAGTAATTTAAAATAGTTGCCGATTTGTTGTAATCTTTACATATTTAAATAATTTTAGTAAAAAGTACACTGTAAGTTTCATATTATTGCAGTTTGTCCCATTGTTTACACTTTACTTGGAAGAGAACCTCCAGTCTCTTCCCTGCAAAATTTAATTGAAATAGACACAAGGTTTAGAGGAAAATGTGGTGAGCAGCTTTTGGTTAATCTGCTACTTTTCCAATATAGTTTCATTAATGCAAAACTTTTGTTCATATGTTTCTTTTTGATGCTTCAAGTATCAAGGATCCTGGATGTCAGATGTAGAAAGATAACAGTTTATCTTACTTGTCTAATATCAAATATCCTTCAAATTATTGTGTGATTGATCACCTGCTTTTTAAAACTAATGTACGAGTAAATGTCATAATTTTGATATAATGGATTGTTTTTAAATATCAAATTATATGCATAATTTTAACCCTTGTGTTTCAGCTCTCCCATCTAGATCTGTTTCAGTGGATGAATCCAGGCCTGAACTTATTTTTAGACTAGCTGTGGGAACCTTGTCCATCTCTGTGCTTCACATAGATCCTTTATCACCACCTGAAACATCACTCAACCTCAATCCATTGACACCTTTGGCGATAGCTTTCTTTACCTGCATAGAAAATATTGACCCAGCAAGATTTTCAGCAGATGATTTTAAGTCTCTCCGAGCAGTATTTGCGGAAGCTTGCAAACACGATCACCTTCGGTAAATTCTCTCATGTTTATTAATGATGCTTGAAAAAGAATCAGATGTGGACTTTTGTATCTACCTATCTCTGGTTTTCTGATTCACATTTTATTTGTAAATGAGGAAATGAACAAGGTTTTCTTGCAATGCTACAGAAATGCTTACCATTTCGAATTTAGGTTAGTTGGCACGTGAAACTAGGACACTGAGATAATCAGGAGTTTTCTCTGCTCATGACAAGTGTTTTTGACCACATCTTGCCATTTAAAATATTGACACTGTTACAATCATAAAAATAGTTCTTACTATCTAAAAATAGTTCTTACTATCACTACTCGCTCAGCAGAGATGACAGTGGTGCGGGGAGAGTGGAGTGAGCTAATGAGAGGGGCCGCGGACACAACATGAACCCTGTGACATGGTCTTTGAGGTGGGGAACGGCACCAAGGCTGATCCTAATCATGGATGCTGTACTTTCAACTTCTGCTTTAAAAAAGTAAAGCTGTCCGGGGGCACCTGGGTGGCTCAGTCCATTAAGTGTCCAACCCTTGATCTCAGTTCAGGTCTTGCTCTCGCTGTTGTGAGTGAATTAACAACAACAACAAAACTTTATTAAAAAAAGTTAAGTCGTCCAAATAGCCAAAGACTTTTTCATGAGTTGAGTCCCGGTAGGTGAGGAGATAATTAAATTTGAAGGTATAATATTGTTAATAAGTAGGGACGCTTGGGTGGCTCGGTGGTTGAGCATCTGCCTTTAGCTCAGGGCATGATCCTGGAATTCTGGGGTCAAGTCCCACATCAGGCTCCCTGCAGGGAGCCTGCTTCTCCTCTGCCTATGTGTCTGCTTTCTCTGTGTGTCTCTCATGAATTAACAATATTTTTTTAAGATTTTTTTTTAATAAACATTGCTCATTTTAACATGAAAGTGATCTTTTGATCATATTTTATACAGTGGTTTAGGCATATATATAAAATAAAAATAAATTAATATTTTGATAAAACAGTTTTGGCCTTTTATTGTTTTTTTGAAGTATTAAAATTAGTATACAGGGTAGTTTTTATATGTAGCTAAAGAAACTGTACAAGTTAGGATCATAGTATTTACTTTATTAAAAATTTTTTTCTTTTAAAGATTTTATTTGACCCAGAGAGAGAGAGAACACAAGCAGGGGGAGTGGTAGGCAGAAGTAGAGGGAGGAGAGGGTATCTGCTGAGCAAACAGCCTAATGTGGTTGGTGCTCAATCCCAGGACCCTGGGATCATGACCTGAACCAAAGGCAGATGCTTAACGGACTGAGCCACCTAGGCGTCCTGTGGACTGTAGTATGTATGTATGTATGTATGTATTTATTTATTTATTTACTTTTAATTTTTATTTATTTATGATAGTCACAGAGAGAGAGAGAGGCAGAGACACAGGCAGAGGGAGAAGCAGGCTCCATGCACCAGGAGCCTGATGTGGGATTCGATCCCGGGTCTCCAGGATCGGGCCCTGGGCCAAAGGCAGGCGCCAAACCACTGTGCCACCCAGGGATCCCTGACTGTAGTATTTATAATTAAACTGTAAAAACATTTTTGACAAGGTTTCAAATGTCTGCTAGTAGAAAATATAACAAAAACAGCAAAAACAGGAGGACAACTTCACTTGGGATCCAATGATTGAAGGTTTTAAAATGTTAAGAATGTATTACATATATTTTACAGATTTGAAAGATTTTTGTCCACTGCAGTGTAAATTTTAAAATGTCAAGGGATTTTTGTCCACTGCAGTGTAAATTTTAAAATGTCAAGTGTTGGGAAATAAATGTAATATATCCTGGATAATTTCTTATCAACAGAGCTGCTGTCTTATGTCAGGGAATGGGAAATTTGAAGCAGTCTTTCTGGTTAATACTCTTTGGAATATTAGTTATTACTAACAACTTGAACTTGTCAGAATAGGTGGACAATTGTGCTTTATTAACACTTGTGTACTATTCTTTGACATTGGTTAACCTAGAAGAAATGAGTACTCTTAAATGCTTCATTTTTTTGTAATAGATTTATAGGTACTGGCATCAAAGTGTCCTATGAACAAAGACAAAGATCAGCTTCCCGATATTTTAGTACTGACATGTCCATCGGGCAAATGGAACTTTTGGAGTGCCTATTTCCCACGGATTTTCATTCTGTTCCTCCTCACTACACAGAGGTAAATTATACTAGATATTTTTCCTTTAGGATTTTTCTTTAAATTGGCTTTGCTTTTAAAGAGTTGTATTAACAGCAGTGATTTTCTTTAAAAAAAAAAAAAAAAAAGAAAAAGAAGTCACAGGAAATGTGTGTGTGCGCACACTCACATGCGTGCACACACATTTGTATTTTGTTGAAACATTTTTTTTTTTTTTTGGTTGAAACATTTTAAAGTGGCATTCAAGGTCATTCTAAGAGTCTGGTAGAATTATTAGAGTTGACTTGTTTTAGAGTGGCAGACAGGTTATGGAATAGATGACTTCATTTCACTGATTTTCCAAGCACTATTAATTTTAGAAGAAGTCTGTTAAATACTGAATGCCCACAGTGTGCTTAAAAAGCACTGTTTAAGACAAGCAAAAAATGTCTTTTGTTCATTTATTAGTCTAATTTTTATTTTTTTTTTTCCAATTCTAAAAGTGTGTGCTAGAGAAACTTTCCGAAGTTATCAAGATAACCTATATTGCTGTTACTTTGCCCTTGTTCATTATTTTATTTTCAAAGTACTTTCTTGGGCATTAATTTACTTGAATTCTCATGTACATTCTGCAGATGAGATACTAAGTATCACAGAAATTAACTTAAGATTGACATGGTTTGTAAGTGACCAAAATGAAATGTAAAATCAGCTTTCCTGGCTTTGAAAAGGTCTTTCGACTATTAGTTCCTCTATTAATTCATGTGATGAGTTATAGTTTAATATCTTACATTTAATTTATTTTTGTCTTTGTAAGCTTTTAATGTTCCATTCCAAAGAAAGAACTGATTCCCATCCACCTGTGTGTCTTCAGCTTCATTATAAGCATTCTGAGAATAAAGGACCCCAGGTAAGAAGCCATATTGTGTGATTACCACCTGTAAATTTTCATTTGATATGTATTTTTGTCATAGTTATACAGTTTTTATTTAGTCATATTCCTAGTTTTCACTTAATTTTGTAGTACTCTTAGTGATCATGTTAATGTTTTCCTTTTTTTTTTTTTTTTTGCTTTTAAAGGGCAATCAAGCAAGACTTAGTTCTGTTCCTCAGAAGGCAGAATTACAAATTAAGTTGAATCCTGTGTTTTGTGAGGTGGATATCAGTATTGTGGACAGGTTAAATTCCTTGCTCCAACCACAAAAGCTTACCACAGTAGAGATGATGGCATCTCACATGTATACTTCATACAATAAACATATTAGTCTGGTACGTATTCAGAATGTTACAAATACTAATCCTAATTATAGCTAACTAATGGGCTTATTGGAATCATTTCTGAGCTTAAGTGTTCTTAATAGATTATGGAGAAACTTATGTCTAGATCATAGACCAGCTGAATAAGTTTTGCTAATATATCAAGTGAAATTTTATGTGGCCATTTTGAATGATAGTTATAAAAATGGTGAAGCAACATGAAGAAAGCTAATGAAAGAGTATTAAGAGAAAAAGTGAAACCTACTACTCTAAATTTTTATCACAGCTGTGTAAATAAAATTGAGGTACAGGGGCACCTGGGTGGTTCAGTTGGTTAAGTGCATACCTTTGGCTCAGGTCATGATCCCAGGGTCCTGGGTTGGAGCCTCACATTGGGTTCCCTGCTTAGTGGGAAGTCTGCCTTTCCCTCTCCATCTGCTCCCCTCCCCTCCCCCCCCACCCCCATGCTCGCTCTGTCTTTCTCTCTGTTTCTCCCTCCCTTCCTCCCTCTCCCTCTCTTAAACAATAAAAATCTTAAAAAGAAATTGAAGTATTGAAAAAGAATGGATAGAAATACACCAGTTGGTAGCTTTGATTATGTTAAAGTGTAGAATTAGATTTCCTTTCCCTCTCTGTGTTTTCTGAATTTTATAAACTGCGATTGTAATATCTGCCCAAAATTTATTCACACATTTAGTAAACAACCTGATCTGCCTATAAAATGTAGCCCAGATAATGTAAGGTACACTTTTGAAAGTGGGAACATAATTTATGGCATTGTTACCAAGCATCACATTAGGTGACATATACTTGGTTTTGTCTGGTGCATGGTGTTTTTTTTTCTAAGCATTTCAAATAAGTCAGATTTGCAAGAAATCTGTTAGAAATTTTGGGCTGGAATTTGGGGGCTCTTTGACCCCTTCGGTTAAAAAGAAAAGGGAGATTCACTGTTTTTCTACTTACTTGTTTGTTCCTTAATTAGTGGTGGATATTTATGTTAAATCAGCATTCTTTATTTTTTGTTGCCACCAATTACTAGTTATTTCAAGTTCTCTGGGACTAGTATGCATATTTGCTATTAGCCATTGATGTACTGGGATCATGGTTTAATCTCTTCGGTTATTTTTGCTGAGGTAGGGGTTAGTATTACAGAGTCCAATAGGGGAGAAAAAGAATAGTGCTAAAAATCTCAGTCTAGGGGAAGAAGGGAACTCCTAAATCCAGGAGGTTAGACGCTGATTCATAAAGTGGAGGAGTGTTAATACCTGCAATGTTCTCTGGGCTAAAGCCTTATAAGTAAGCTTCAGCTTACTTACTTTCAGCTTACATTTTAGGGAAAAACAAAGCATAAATGACTTTTATCTGAAGGGCATGTTCTTTTGAGCAGAGGGTGCATATGTGTCTTGGTTTTTAAGAGCCATTTGATGGGCTCATAACCCTTGGGAGCTCAGAGTGAGTCATTTGGTGAATATTTAGAACTTATGCTATGCCAGGCTCTAGGCTTAGTCCTGGAAATACAAAGTTAAGTCAGAGATGGACCTTGCATTTGACATAATCTTATTTTACACCAAGTCTTTAAAGTAGCATATTGGTAGATAAATCCTTCAAATTGAATGTTGAATTGATTTTTAACTCTATTGGATTTACTGATAACCTAATGTACACGCTATTGTCTTTTAGTCTATAGTAATATGTTTATACATCTCTAGCACCTGTGTCTTCATTTTGGTTCAGTGTTTGTTTTGATTGATTTTGATTTATTTGGTTTAACTTTTGCCAGTTATTTGAAGTTTTGTCAGTAGCTGCTACTGCATTATAAAATTTCATTACACTAAATTAATATGGTAGTAGTTAATTTGAATTGTATTTTAGTACATTATACTGAATGAGGAAATAGTGATTATATATATTGTAATGTTCAATACTAATATCATTTATGTTTCTTTGATATTCTGGCATATTTTTGATTTGTGTTTTAGCACAAGGCTTTCACTGAAGTATTTCTGGATGATTCACATAATCCTGCAAATTGTCGGATATCCGTACAAGTTGCCACACCAGCTTTAAACCTTTCTGTTCGCTTCCCAATACCTGATCTTCGGTCAGATCAAGAAAGAGGACCATGGTTTAAGAAGTCACTTCAGAAGGAGATGCTTCATTTAGCATTTACAGACCTAGAATTTAAGACTGAATTTATAGGAGGATCAACCCCAGAGCAAATTAAATTGGAACTTACCTTTAGAGAACTAGTTGGTAAGATTGAATATGCCTATAAGGGATCCCTGGGTGGCGCAGCGGTTTGGCGCCTGCCTTTGGCCCAGGGCACGATCCTGGAGACCCGGGATCGAGTCCCACATCGGGCTCCCGGTGCATGGAGCCTGCTTCTCCCTCTGCCTGTTTCTCTGCCCCCCCCTCTCTCTCTCTCTCTGTGACTATCATAAAAAAAAAAAAAAAAAAAAATGAATATGCCTATAAGAGCTAGACCAGAAACCACCAACTACTACTCAAGCAAACATCATGAAAAAGCATATGGCAGTCCCCAATATACTAACATTAGACGCTGTTAGAAAACAAGAGTAATGGCCTTTTTCCAGTATTGTATAGGAATATGTGATTATAATTAACTTTTAAAAAATTACTAAGCATGATTATTCACTTTCTTAAAATACTTCTTTTCTACAGGGTAATATAGTACTCTAGCTTACGTTTTTAATGCCATATGACTGACTTGTATAGCTAAAAGTAACCGGAATTTTTTGAGTGCCAATCTGTTAGGTACTGTACTGAGCACTTCTCCTATGTTACTGGTTTCCTTTCATCATCATGGTTATAGTAGGCTTATTATTTCCAATTCTTTTTATCATTTATAATTTATAAGTGAGGAATCCATAGACTTAAGAAGAGGTACCTTCTAAGACCATGTAAATGACAGAATCAGATTCAAACCTAAGTCTCACACTTGAACTGTCACTCATCAGACTAATCTCTGGTGACTTTTCTTTGTAAAACCTGTTTAACAGTTTTTCTGTATTTGCTTTTGTCATCTAACAGAATATATATTCATGTAGGGTGAACCAAGTCTATGAGGAACTCTAGAAGATTCTGATGCTTTATTCTGTGGTTCCTAAATGACCTACCTCTGCCACCACACCTCCTCTAACCACACCTCCCCCTGTCACCATATCCTGCTCCTCCATCTCAGGAAATAGGCTGCACATTTTTTTTTTCCTTTGTTCTGAGTTTTACACATCTTTAGAGATATTTACAATGGACTTGCTGATTAGGACTTCATGAAAGAGCCTATAGGGGTTCTGATCTTATCTATAGTGGGGAAAAAACTATTATTCTGGAGGAAAGTCATTCTTTGTAAAATGGACTGAAAAAGCATGCATTCAATTTTTGTGAATGGAAGTAATTTTTACAGTGCTTGGTACAAAACATTTAAGAAATAGTTATTATCTGTGTGTTCCTAGATTAACTGCATAAACTTCTATGTAGAATAACTATTCAGTGGCAGCAAGTGGCAACTGCTCTATTTACATTATGATGATGTACCTTATAGATTAAACTTGGTACCTAAGAATTTGAGTTTGAACAGAAAACATCATCTTTATATGCTGTCTCCCCGTATGTACCCAAGAAATAGGAACAAAGGAATAAGTGCTATAGTATTACACTGTGTCCCAGCTGTAGAAGATCTTTGCTTATTATGTAAGGAGGAAACTATCTTTTCTTTCAGCACTTGAGAAGAAATGTAGTTTAGTTAACCAGTCTTGTTTTATTAGGATCATTCCAGGAAGATAGAGGAGAACCATCTGTTAAGTTTTTCCATGTGTCTAGTGGAGTAGATGGAGATACAGCATCATCCGATGACTTTGACTGGCCACGGTGAGTAAGCAGGTATTCATGATAGATTTTAATGAGATTATCCTTGCAAAAATAAATTGCTCTGGTACTTTATTATTTTTTTTATTAATTTTGAGAGAGAACGTGTGGGTGGGAGGAGGCACAGAGGGAGACGGGGAGAGCAATCTTAAGCAGACTCTGAGCTGAGTGTGGAGCCCCACATGGGGCTCCATCTCAGGACCCTGAGGTCATGACCTGAGCCAAAACCAAGAGTAGGATGCTTAACCGATTGTACCACCCAGGTGCCCCTGCTGTAGTACTTTTAATTGACATTTTGGCTATTAATTTAAACTAAAAATATTCAGCCCTGATGAGAGAAGGCAGAGAAAGATGGACAAATTAAATTCAAAAATCCATATTAAGTGTACTAACATATGAAAGATGTCTGTCTATATTGTGAGAGATGAAAGTATAAAATGTATTCCCTGGTCCAAAGTTACCCTGTTTAATTAGAGGGACAAAAGGATCATTAACCATTTATTTATTTATTTATTTATTTATTTATTTATTTATTTATTTATTTATTTATTTGAATTTTTTTTTTATTTATTTACGATAGTCATACAGAGAGAGAGAGAGAGGCAGAGACACAGGCAGAGGGAGAAGCAGGCTCCATGCACCGGGAGCCCGATGTGGGACTCAATCCCGGGTCTCCAGGATCGTGCCCTGGGCCAAAGGCAGGCGCCAAACCGCTGCACCACCCAGGGATCCCTCATTAACCATTTAAAAAAGAAAATAGTTCAGTGCTACAATGGAAGAGTTATATGGCACCATTTGATTAGTTGTTAAATGAATTTTATAGTCTGTGATTGCTTTAGGACACTTTTTCAGACGTGGGGAGCTTTTACAAAATTGACTCACTGGCCCCACCCTGAGATTTTGGGATAGAGTCTGGGCATCAGGATAGTCTAAAAATTACACCAGGTGATCTGATGTGTAGGTGGATGTTAAGAACCACTGCTTCAGGATTTCTTAGAATTAATAAAGTAATTATTCATTATAGATTATTGTTCATTAACATACTTAATTACTCATTATTGTATATTGAAACATTAATTAAACTAATAGCCTGATCGTAGGCTTGGATATATTTAAAAGGACTTTGTTTACTTGAAATAATGATTTTTTTTTTTGTACATTGAAAACTGAATATTTGACAACTGAGAATTAAAGTGACTTTTTTGGGGGGGGGGTGCTATTTTCCCTCTGGCCTTTTTTACATCCACCCCTGTGTATCAGACCTAGCAGGCTCTTAGGTGTGACCAGTACATGCCTGATAATGAGCGGTTTAGTACATGGGTTTTCATCATAAGAAATGGATCTACTGGAGTTAATTTTGTAGCACAGTTTGCATTAGGGTGTCCATAAATCAGGAAACAGTCATGATCGTTCAAAATGGTAACCATTATGTACCATCTACTTAGGGGAATAACCCGTTACAGATGCCTCACAGCTGTTTGGTTTGAGGGCACCAGGCTTCTCACAATAGTGTTGGGAAGGAGACAGCAAAGCCTTTGCTCCTGACGTGCGGGGAGTAGTAGGAAAGCAGGGGCCCAGAATTCCTTTACTTGTGGTTTGTAGCTTCAATGCACCAACAAGCCTTTTGTTACTGAAATTCCTGAAGGAAAGTGCTACTTTGTTGTTGCAGTTCTAAGTTAATCTCTTATCTGTCTGTCTTTTCTACTTGAACAATTTCTATGATACAAGGTCTCTTAGGCGTGCACATCTTCTTTAATAGCAGTTTGGTTTCATGAAAACAAATAGAATTCTTAGGCAAAATTTGCCAGCTGTTAAAGATAACCTTTTGTCCTTTTGTCACAAGATCAGATTTTCAGTTAGCCAAGTATGCAGTGGTGATGCCCTTCCTTTATTTGTTTCATCCATTCAACATTTTCAAGTTTGGAGTACACTCAGAAGTGGTTACATGAGACATAACTAGATTTTGTGGAGAAGCTGAATCCTATCATCAGTGGTCTTTGTAGTAGAGTGCGGAAAAGTTACAGCTGTGCTGGTTGCACTGAGACCTTGATTTTTTTTTTTTAATAAATTAATTTTTATTGGTGTTCAATTTACCAACATACAGAATAACACCCAGTGCTCATCCCGTCAAGTGTCCCCCTCAGTGCCCGTCACCCACACACCCCCACCCCCCGCCCTCCTCCCCCTCCACCACCCCTAGTTCATTTCCCAGAGTTAGAAGTCTTTATGTTCTGTCTCCCTTTCTGATATTTCCCACACATTTCTTCTCCCTTCCCTTATATTCCCTTTCACTATTATTCATATTCCCCAAATGAATGAGAACATACACTGTTTGTCCTTCTCTGACTGACTTACTTCACTCAGCATAATACCCTCTAGTTCCATCCACTAGAGGGTCCCTCTAGTTCCATTGAAGCAAATGGTGGGTATTTGTCGTTTCTAATTGCTGAGGAATATTCCATTGTATACATAAACCACATCTTCTTTATCCATTCATCTTTCGATGGACACCGAGGCTCCTTCCACAGTTTGGCTATTGTGGACATGGCTGCTAGAAACATCGGGGTGCAGGTGTCCCGGCGTTTCATTGCATCTGAATCTTTGGGGTAAATCCCTAACAGTGCAATTGCTGGGTCGTAGGGCAGGTCTATTTTTAATTCTTTGAGGAACCTCCACACAGTTTTCCAGAGTGGCTGCACCAGTTCACATTCCCACCAATAGTGTAAGAGGGTTCCCTTTTCTCCGCATCCTCTCCAACATTTGTTGTTTCCTGCCTTGTTAATTTTCCCCATTCTCACTGGTGTGAGGTGGTATCTCATTGTGGTTTTGATTTGTATTTCCCTGATGGCAAGTGATGCAGAGCATTTTCTCATGTGCATGTTGGCCATGTCTGTGTCTTCCTCTGTGAGATTTCTCTTCATGTCTTTTGCCCATTTCATGATTGGATTGTTTGTTTCTTTGCTGTTGAGTTTAAGAAGTTCTTTATAGATTTTGGAAACTAGCCCTTTATCTGATATGTCATTTGCGAACACCTTCTCCCATTCTGTAGGTTGTCTTTGAGTTTTGTTGACTGTATCCTTTGCTGTGCAAAAGCTTCTTATCTTGATGAAGTCCCAATAGTTCATTTTTGCTTTTGTTTCTTTTGCTTTCGTGGATGTATCTTGCAAGAAGTTACTGTGGCCAAGTTCAAAAAGGGTGTTGCCTGTGTTCTCCTCTAGGATTTTGATGGAATCTTGTCTCACATTTAGATCTTTCATCCATTTTGAGTTTATCTTTGCGTATGGTGCAAGAGAGTGGTCTAGTTTCATTCTTCTGCATGTGGATGTCCAATTTTCCCAGCACCATTTATTGAAGAGACTGTCTTTCTTCCAGTGGATCGTCTTTCCTCCTTTATCGAATATTAGTTGACCATAAAGTTCAGGGTCCATTTCTGGGTTCTCTATTCTGTTCCATTGGTCTATGTGTCTGTTTTTGTGCCAGTACCACACTGTCTTGATGACCACAGCTTTGTAGTACAACCTGAAATCTGGCATTGTGATGCCCCCAGATATGGTTTTCTTTTTTAAAATTCCCCTGGCTGTTCGGGGTCTTTTCTGATTCCACACAAATCTTAAAATAATTTGTTCTAAGTCTCTGAAGAAAGTCCATGGTATTTTGATAGGGATTGCATTGAACGTGTAAATTGCCCTGGGTAACATTGACATTTTCACAATATTAATTCTGCCAATCCATGAGCATGGAATATTTTTCCATCTCTTTGTGTCTTCCTCAATTTCTTTCAGAAGTGTTCTATAGTTTTTAGGGTATAGATCCTTTACCTCTTTGGTTAGGTTTATTCCTAGGTATCTTATGCTTTTGGGTGCAATTGTAAATGGGATTGACTCCTTAATTTCTCTTTCTTCAGTCTCATTGTTAGTGTATAGGAATGCCATTGATTTCTGGGCATTGATTTTGTATCCTGCCACGCTACCAAATTGCTGTATGAGTTCAAGCAATCTTGGGGTGGAGGCTTTTGGGTTTTCTATGTAGAGTATCATGTCATCGGCAAAGAGGGAGAGTTTGACTTCTTTGCCAATTTGAATGCCTTTAATGAGACCTTGATTTTTTAAATTGTCTTTGCTGTCAGAATTGTACTCAAATTAAATCCGCCAGCTGTGCATTCCATTTTGGAGCGGATAGCTGCGGAGGAAGAAGAGAGTGATGGCCGCTACCAGGAAGAGGAGGAAGGGGGTGCTCACTCCCTGAAGGATGTTTGTGATTTGCGAAGACCGGCCCCATCTCCCTTCTCCTCTCGGAGAGTCATGTTTGAAAATGAGCAGGTAAAATGCCAGCGTGCAACCAAAGAATTACCTGTTCCATACAACAGTTGTTTTCATTCTTTGTTTTTGAAGTACTTTGCTGTTTTTGTTAGGCATTTAGCTCTAAGACTGAATAGTATTTTTCTTTCTTTAAAAGTTACACTCTTCTCTGTTTACAATATCGAGTCCATGGATAAGGCAGAAGGTGCTACTATTATTTTAAACATGAAATGGTTATTTGGTGCCTTTTTTTTTCCCCCCCCACTAAACTATTCTATTTTAGATGGTGATGCCTGGAGACCCTGTAGAAATGACAGAGTTTCAGGATAAAGCAATCAGCAATTCTCACTATGTGCTGGAACTTACGTTACCCAACATTCATATAACACTACCTAATAAAAGCTTTTATGAGAAGCTTTATAATAGGTGAGTTTAAGCACATTTAGTTGAGTTTTTGGAATTGGAGTTTTCTGCCTAACTGCTTCCCTGTTTCCCCACTTCCCCTTTTTCTGTCCTTGCTTTAATAGTATCTACAACCTCTGGGTACTTTGTGTGGTGTTGATTACAAAACCGTTAACTGTTATGTGGGGCTGTTGTCATAGCGGAATTTCCTAATCAGTGTGTCTGGTAACTGGGTTACTTGTACGTGAGATGTTTATTCCATCCACCTTTGTTGGCTGGTTGCTCTCCATCACATTTCCATAGAGTACTGAGCAAATATGTCTCCTGTGTGTGCAGCGACATGAAGAGTTGAGAGACGCCTGTATGGAGGGCCAGCAGGTGCTGCGGGGGGTGGTGGTGGTGGTGGTTCAGTTGTCTTGATGAGATTTACGGGATAGTCCATTGAGGTGTAGGAAGAAAATGTTCTTCTATTTAACTTTTTGAAAAGTCTTATTTATTTTTTGAAGACTTATTTATTTTTGCATATTTTTTTTGGAGTTCCAATTTGCCAACATCTAGCATAACACCCAGTGCTCATCCCATCAAGTGCTCCCCTCTGTGCCCATCACCCAGTCACCCCATCCCCCTGCCCACCTCCCCTTCCACTAGCACCCCTTGTTCATTTCCCAGAGTTAGGAGTCTCTCATGTTTTGTCACCCTGTCTGATTTTTCTCTCCTTTTTTCTACAATCTTCAGTTTCTGAAAAAAGTGTTTTTTTTTTTTTTTTTTTAAAGATTTTATTTATTCACTCATGAAAGACAGAGGCAGAGACAGGGGCAGAGGGAGAAGCAGGCTCCATGCAGGGAGCCCGATATGGGACTCGATCCCAGGACTGTGGATTCATGCCTGAGCCAAAGGCAGATGCCCAACCGCTGAGCCACCCAGGTGTCCGTGAAAAAATAGTTTCAAAGGAATTTGAGTGCAAAATCTTCGATTTTTTAAGGTTTTTCCACTTCAGTATATATATGTGTATATATATATTTTATTATTTATATATATTATTAAATATTTTTTCAGTCTATATATTTTAAAGTCACCTATTAGTACAATTTAGAACTGAAACTCTACTTAAAACAATAGAGATGAGCATAGTAGAGGCCAAATACAATTGGCATTTGGTGAATATACAGAACATAGAGCTCACACTATGGGAGCTGACTTCTTAGGTGTGCTAGAGAGTCCCAAGGAGCCAGCGGTTAGCACATAGGGAGAGCACATGGGGAGGTCAGTTGGGATGACTGGTGGGGCTGTTGATTGCTCAGAGGAGGGAACAGGAGAGTGTTCTTTTGGGGAGTTGGTTACATAGTGGTTGCTGGAAAGCGTTACTGTTCTATTCTACTCTGCTCGTATCTCCGGCTCTCAGGTAACTACACTTACATAAAAGCTGAAGTTCTCCTTCACACTGTGGATCTTATAAATGATGTATCTAAGTTCTTGGTGTCAATTCTTGGCCCCTTATTTGGCTTTGAATATGTATTTATTATGAAGTTAATATTTTTTAAAGTATTTGAATATTCTCAAACTTAGAGAAGTTGCAAGTATAGCGCAAAGTGCTTTTCTTTTTTCCAAACCCTGAACCATTTGAGAGTGAGCTGCTGACCTAATGCCCTTCCCTGAGTACTTGAGTGTGTATTTCCCATAGACATTCTTCTACATAATCATAATTCAGCCCTCAAAATGAGAAAATTAATATTGTTACCTAATCATCACACCCTATTTGAGTTTTGCTAAATGTTTTAGTGTTGCCTCTTTATCCATATAATTTTTATTTATTTTTATTTTCATACATTAAAGAAAGGAACTTTCTGAGCAGGGTTATAACCACTCTGCCTTAACTTCATATACTTTAAGATCTTGGTTTATTCCTTTAGTGCCTTGGTCAACTGGCTCTTTTTAGATGGTCTTAGGTACAGGAGAACTTTTTTCTATTTCAAAATTTCTTTAGAATATAAAAGAATTTTTACTAGCTTTGTTAAATGAGGTATTTATTACCTGTTATATTTCAGGCTCATAACCACAGAATCATGGTGATACGTCCTTAAATATCTTCTTTTAAAAGATATTTTAGAGAGAGCAAGAGCAGGGGAAGGGGCAAATAGAGAGGGAGAGCAAGAATCCTCAAGCAGACTCCCTGCTGAGTGAGGAGCCTGACACAGGACTCACTTCCATGATCCTGACCTGAGCCGAAATCAGGAGTTGGCCGCTTAATTGATTGAGCCATCCAGGCACCCACTCTGTCCTTAAATATCTTAAATGTTTTCTTGGTATTAGAAACATCATCTAATATTTTACAGTATTAATGATATCAAGACCATGTTTAGATCAAAATGTAAATAAGGAAAATGCAAAGTCATATGAAACATACTTATAGGTCAGATTTTACATAAAGTAGTAGTTTCTCTTTAACCTGTGAAGTTAAGAAAATGGTTATAGGGAATAACGTATAGGAAGGGCATTTCCAGAAAGTTCATTTTTATATCTTCATTATTTATTTACAAAGGAGTTTAGAGTAAGATCTGGGCTTAGACTCTTGTTTCTTTGTCCTGTGAGCAGTATACCCAAGAAGCAGTGACCTAATAAGTATCACACAGTTTGGGGGCATAGTTGTCATTGGTTCTGAGAGGAGACTTGTTTCTGCCCTGTATCTCTGGTATTCTTCACCTACTGATAGTTCCAAATGGAGAGCTTTTGGAGTGGGGATTTCAGTCTACTGAGAGTCATGGCACTCAGTCCTGGTTTATACTTTCTAGGGCTTCAGAAGCTTAGGAATTGGCCCAGGAAGTTCCTAGACAAGTGGCTTCTCACAGGAAGGGCCAGCCTGCCTCATTGCTTGGCACCTTGATTGGTATTCACACTAGGCTTTACAACGAGGCTGTGCCTTTGGCAGTCCTGCCATGTGAGTCATCCACTGGTTGTCTCATCATCAAATGTCTGCTTAATGACAGCCACTGTGCTAGGCACATATAAATATGACCAAGACCTAAGGCCCTCTCTCTGAGAGGCTATGGTCTAGGAAGGGGAAGCGAGAAAATACTGTTACAGGCGCGTGATTGAGTTAGGTATGTGAAGGATTCACTGTGGGTCCAAATCTAACAGCACGCTTCAGAGAGGACATTGTAAAGTCTGAATTTCTATGAAAATGTGGAGCAGAGGTAATTACAGTGGGGAAGATAGGAGCAGCAAGACATCTGAGTCATGACAGAGTAGGATGTGCTAGAAACCTAGATTGATGTGTATCACCCATTAATCACCAGTATTGACTTGGTTGTGCAGCCAGTTGGAGGATTTCCTGCCTTTATTCCCTGTTTCTTATGCATTCTTCTCCCATGCACATTTCCCAGGGAAGCTGTGCTTTCTGTGGGAGAGAGACAAAAAGCAGTTATCCCTAGGAACAGTGAGTAATGAGGAGAGCTGAACTGGGAGCTGGACAAGATCTGGGCTATGGTCTGGTCCTCCCCCAAATTAGCTCTGTGACTTTGGGCAGGGCACTTAACCTTTATGAGGCAGTTTCTCCCAGGTGTGAAGTGAGAGTAATGATTCTTCCATGGGCTGCCCCATGGGTGGGTGGGTGGATCAAATGAGGGTGCATGGTGTGTTCCAGTTTACAGAGAGCTCTCCTATGTGAACAGTGTTTCCTTTTTTTTTTTTTTTAATAAGTTTTTAACTTCCTCCTTTAAGGTGCATTTAGGTGTATGTAATTGATGCACACAGCACAGCTAAAACTAGGCTGATAGCTCATTAAGTAACTAATTGTACAGATTCCTTTCTCATTGCCCTGTAGTTGAGCCGTATCAGTACTTTTCCTATTGAAAGAATGTATTTGATGCTTTAAAAAAAAAAACTCCTTTGTAGGATCTAATTTCTGTTTTCCATTTAGAAAAACTTATTCATGTGACTTCTTAAAGGTTATGTTCTTGAGATTACTTTTAGCTGAAGTAGGAGTTACGTATTTTTCAACTTCTGTCTTCTGTAGGATCTTTAATGACTTGCTGCTGTGGGAACCAACAGCTCCTTCACCAGTGGAGACATTTGAAAATCTTTCTTATGGTCTTGGTCTTTCTGTAGCCAGTCAGCTGATTAACACCTTCAACAAAGAGAGTTTTAGTCCATTTAAATCCACAGTTCACTATGGTAATGTATTTAACTTTGTTTTGACTTTAAAATGCCGGGTTTATCAATAAACAGAGTAGTAACCTTTTCAATCGATAGATTTTAAAATGTTTCTTGGGTATTTCCCCTGGTAACTATATTTTATAATGTCTTCTAATAACAGTGTTTCCCCCCTTTTATATACACATTGAATATTGTCAATTATATATGTTATCTTTATAGTGGTAGTATATATATATTAAGTTCAGTGGGGAGGAGAAAATAAATAGAAAGTACATTTTTATTGTCATGCCGGATTCTTGGTAAAAAAAAAAAAAGGTTGTAAAATATTTTTTTAAAATTTTTTTGTAAAATATTTTTGTGATATTGTTTTAGTTGCTATTTTATTTCCATAGCTGTCAGCACCATATTTCCTGTGACCTTTGTTTCCCACAGATGAGGAAAGTGGATCTGAGGAGGAGACATTGCAGTATTTTTCTACAGTGGATCCCAACTATCGTTCCCGTAGGAAAAAAAAATTAGACTCTCAGAACAAGAACTCACAGAGTTTTCTTTCTGTTCTTCTGAGTATCAATCATGGATTAATGGCAGTGTTTACAGATGTCAGGGTAAGGATTTGCAAAGCCAAAGTATTGTTTCAGGTATATTTTATTTTAAATGTGCCATGATTTACACATGCTGTCATTGAGGTAGTGGGAGGTTGTTTCACTGCCTGAGGAAGGTCTGCAGTGACAGCAGCTTCCGAGAGCGTTTCACTGCGGATCAGAAGACAAACCTAGTATGGACCTTCTTTTGGCAAATGTACTGGTTCTGCTGCTGAGGTGATCACTAGCAATTTACGTATTATAAAGGAGAGTGAAGTGCAGGGGTTCATTCAGCAGAGGAGACCCTACACAGCATTTCATGCCACCTCATGTTGGGTGGTTTGAGAATCAGAGTGCTTTGCTGCCACATGGGCGAGTCCTGTTGGCTGAATCAGGAAGGAGCAATTCAAGAGGCATTTTGACTTTTCTGCATTTAAGTAATGACTTCTGCGTTTTTCTGGTCTTTTTATTAGCAAGATAATGGAGAGCTGTTGGAAAATAAGCATGGCGAGTTCTGGTTAGAGTTCAACAGTGGTTCCTTGTTTTGTGTGACCAAGTATGAAGGCTGTGATGACAAGCACTACATCTGCCTTCATGCCAGCAGTCTCAGTCTATACCACAAAGGTAGGACACATGTTGAATGTGTGTTCTGTTCACCTCTGTTTAGACCCATTTAAATTTTAATAAAGTTTTTAAAAAGATTATTCATTTATTTGAGAGAGAGTAAGAAAGAGAGCTCACAAGTGTAGAGAGCGGCAGAGGGAGAGAAAGAAGACTCCCCGCTGAGCAGGGAGCCTGATGTGGGGCTTGATCTCAGAACTCCGGGATCAGGGGATCCCTGGATGGCTCAGTGGTTTGGTGCCTGCCTTTGGCCTGGGGCGCGATCCTGGAGTCCCGGGATCGAGTCCCATGTTGGGCTCCTGGCATGGAGCCTGCTTCTCCCTCTGCCTGTGTCTCTGCCCCCCCCCTCTCTCTTTCTCTCTCTCTCTCTCTCACTCTGTGTCTATCATAAATAAATAAATCTTAAAAAAACAAAACTCCGAGATCATGACCTGAGCTGAAGACACTTAACTATAACTGCCCCCTAATAAGGAAAATCTATTTTGAGAACAAAACTCTGATAATAGAAATTATTTTCTGTGGGTTGTTCTGATTCACTGGCAAAATAATACTGTAAATTAGGAGTAGACTTTATGGTTTTTCTGGGCAATAACTTCTATACTTTGAGATATAGTAGTTCGTATTCCATATAATTCACCCATTCAAACTATACATTTCACTGGTTTTCAAAATTTTACAGAATTGGAACCATCATCACAACATTAGAACCTTTCTATCACCCCTAGAAGAAGCTATGTACCCTTTTAGGTGCAACGCTGCCATGGCCTTCCACCTCCCACCCTCCAGCACTAAATAACCTCTAATCTACTTTGCCTCTGTGGATTGTGTATTCTGGATGTTTATGGAATCATATGATATATGGTCTTTTGTGACTGGCATCTTTCGTTTGGCATGATGTTTTCAAGGGTCATCCAAGTGTAATAGTATTTTATTCCTTTTATTGCCAGATAATATTCCATTTTATGGATGTACTGTATCTTATTATCCTCTGATGAATTCATAGGACTTTACATTTCCTTTTGGTAACAAAAAACAGAATTTACCATCTTTTGAGCACATTCCCTATTATCTTGTGAATGGAAGATACACGTTCTTTTTTTCCCCCCCAAAGTCTAGAAAACAATACTTGCACAGTCTTAGTATTTCAGAGTTTTCTATTTAATTTCCTAGCGTTTCATATCTTAATTTTTTTTAGGTAGGGTATGGTCAGTTGTACCAACATTAGCAGAGAGGGTACAGATTAATAACGTCAAGCTGGTTTTTGATCATTTTGCCTCCAGAATTATATTCAGTGGAAGCCTATGGATTTTTGTTTTGAGTTGTCAAAATCTGTGAACTAATTATCATTTTGTTATATTGTCACCTCCTTGTCAATGTAGGTATAGTAGATGGAGTGATTCTTCCTACAGAAACACGACTGCCCAGTTCAACCCGCCCACACTGGTTGGAACCTACTATTTATTCCTCTGAAGAAGATGGCCTCAGTAGAGCTTCTTCAGATGGTGTTGGAGGAGAAACTTTGAATATGCTCTCTGTTGCAGTTAAAATACTTTCTGATAAATCAGAGTCCAATACAAAGGTTTGTGTTTTACACTTTTATACCATTAAATACTTGCCATTCATTTGATTACTAGCTAAACGTGATTGCGTAAAAGGCAGCACATTTATTTTCTTAGGAAATCTTTTCAGGTTTTCACCTAGTGATATACCGGTGATCAATGTAACTTTTTGTGTTATTCTGTATAGGAATTTCTCATTGCTGTGGGGTTGAAAGGAGCCACACTCCAGCACAGAATACTTCCTTCTGGGCTTAGCTGGCACGAGCAGGTAAGAGAGTTGTTAGGTATATATTGATTTTATTTTTTACTTTATACAGATATGTAATACTGTAAAGTCACAAATCATAAATAATCAGTGTGCATTGAATTATCATTGAAGTAAACACTCCTGTATAACTAGCCACCTCTTAGGTTAGTAAATAGAATGTTATCACCACTCCAGAATGAAATTGATTTTTTTTACCTTTAAGTTTCGACCCTGAACATCTCAAAACAGTTATCTTTTATGTCATTTAAGGGAAGGGATTCTATTGAGTCCCTGGTGTAGAGGAACAATAAATGATGTATTGACTTGTACTTACTCTTGTAGGTGCCAGAATTTCAGAGTTATTCCCTAGGCCAGTAACATGCTTTGAGACATTTCTAAGGATTAATGAAATGCAGTTGGTTTTTGATTAATGAAGTGCAGTTGGTTAATTCTTTTCTATTGAGAGTGAAAATTAATGCACTGTGATTCTTGTTTATTTTCCTTAGAGGAACTTTTTCTTTGTGTTGAGAAAATAATATTTTATACCTTAAAGTTTTCTTTTTTTTTTTTAAACTTTTTTTTTTTAATTTTTATTTATTTATGATAGTCACACACACACAGAGAGAGAGAGAGAGAGAGAGAGGCAGAGACACAGGCAGAGGGAGAAGCAGGCTCCATGCACCGGGAGCCCGACGTGGGATTCGATCCCGGGTCTCCAGGATCGCGCCCTGGGCCAAAGGCAGGCGCCAAACCGCTGCGCCACCCAGGGATCCCTACCTTAAAGTTTTCAGAGAGCTTTCATAAAAGCATTTAGGAAACCTGAGAAGACCTAGATCTGTGTAGTGAGGGTTGGGAGATGGTTGGTGCGAACCCTGAGCTCTGCTGTAAAGGGGAGATTTAGTCTAACCTCATAGAGATAGAAATAGAGAAGAGTGGATGTTGGTAAGAGGATCTGGTTTTAGACTGAGCTAGGTATAGTTTAAGGAAAAGTAACTTTTCCCAAAAGTGGATTACATAGAAAAGCAGATGGAGTAGAAGGAATTTATAATGATTTTCATATAAATCGTATCTTTGAGAAGATAGGATTTTTCTAAGACTTCTGTAACACTGTAATTGTCAGATGGGGCTCTCTCTTCATTTCAGAAATACTTCAAAAGTAGTTTTGCAAATACTTTTTTTTTTTAAAAACATTTTTTTAAAAGATTTTCATTTATTAATGAGAGACATAGAGGCAGAGACACAGGCAGAGGGAGAGGCAGGCTCCATGCAGGGAGCCCGGCGTGGGACTCGATCCCGGGTCTCCAGGATCATGCCCGGGGCTGAAGGTGGCACTAAACCACTGAGCCACCGGGGCTGCCCAGTTTTGCAAATACTTTTTGAGATGAATTGCTTCAAAATGATATTTTTTCTTTTAGCATTAATTTTGTCAATAAAGGGATCCCTGGGTGGCGCAGCGGTTTGGAGCCTGCCTTTGGCCCGGGGCGCGATCCTGGAGACCCGGGATCGAATCCCACATCGGGCTCCTGGTGCATGGAGCCTGCTTCTCCCTCTGCCTGTGTCTCTGCCTCATCTCACAGAAAAAGCAACCGTTTATTGACAAAAAATTTTTTTTTGTCACGCATTTTTTTTTTTTTTTACAGTCCTTTCCTTTATTGGATTTCCAAATTTTAACAAGTGAAAGTAAAGCAATCATTAAGTGGTTCAGATAAAAGTATCTTTACCTGAGTTACCCATCAGGCCTCTTCTGACCTGCCTAGCTCCTCCCAGAACAAGGTTCCGGGCATCTAAGCAACTGTTTACATACTGACTCCATTAAAAATCATCTCTACCATATGGGTCAACTATTACCTATCATTATGTACACAGTCCACAATGAGATCTCTCATTGGCGCAAAATTCTGTGCAGAGTACGTTCTTTGGGACCTGATAAGGTAGGAGTTTCTAGCAAGGCTTTTTTCAGACTCAAAGGAGGGTTCTTCCCTTATGGGAGTTCCCTGGTGTACCACAAGAGCTGCTCACTGACAGGAGTTTTTCTTACTCAGAGACTTTGTAAGGTCTTTCCTCAGATTGGGTTTCTTTGGTGCAAACCCAAGAAGGCTCTCAGCTAATGTTTTTGCCACATTCAAGACAAATACACGCATTTTCACCAGTATGGCTTCTCTGAAAAGTAAGAAAGTCATAGTTCTGTTAGAAGCTTTTTACGCACTTGCTGGGTTTCTCCCCACGATGGGCTTTCTGACATCCAATTCGACGTACATGCTGTTTGAAGCTCTATTGACAATGAGGGCATTTAAAAAGTCCTCTGGAGCGAATTCTCTTGGGATGAGGCGGGGTGAATGCTGCTAGAGAGCTCTCTTACACTCACTGCATTTGTAAAGTTTCCCACCTGTAGAAATCCCCTTGCAGGTGATCAGATATGAGCCTGGACTAACGGTTTGTCCAAACTCAAGGCATTTGTATGGTTTCTCATTGGAGTGGCTGATTAAGTGTTCTGTTAGGGTAGTTCTCTGGGCAAACCATTTCTCAACTTCCCACAGTTGCATTCTCTGGTCCCCACTGAAGTCTGAGCTCTGAGGAAAGTGTGAGATTTGCCTAGAGTTCTTTAATGAGTTCTCTCACAGGTAAATACATTTTTTATGGTATTGTAACTTCTTGTCTGATCAAGACATTTGTGAGGCTTCTGACGCATGGGGAGGGCTGAGCTCAAGACCTTTCTCGCCCATATTACAGATGTATGGTTTCTCACCGATATGGATTGTCTGATGTTGAAGAAGAGCTGAAAAAAATTTTTTTTGTCAATAAACGGTTGCTTTTTCTGTGAGATGTTTTATGTTGGTATTAGGGATATCATATCAAAACTTTTTTTTTCCTTCTAAAGCAGGGTATTTTATATTTTTGTGATTATAGATTTTATACTTCTTGAATATTGCTGATGAACCTGTTCTGGGATATAATCCTCCAACTTCGTTTACAACTTTTCATGTTCATCTCTGGAGCTGCGCACTTGATTATAGGTCAGTTCATGGAGCAAAATAAAGCTTTATTTGAAGTATATATACTAAGTTTTGAAAAAATACATAATTCAAATTTTAGGGTTAAGGTTCAAAATGATCTTTTAAGGGGGTTTCTGTTGTTGCAGCAGACTGATATTCTTTGTTTCCTTTTGATATCAGGCCTCTTTATTTGCCGATCCGATCTCTTCTCACTGTGGAAACCTTCAGCGTTTCAAGTAGCGTGGCCTTGGACAAATCCTCGTCTACTCTCAGGTGCCTGGGTAAACTTTAATGTCTGCTAAATGCAGCTGTTCTAAACATGCTAACTGATATTTAGCTGAAGTCTTTGACTAAAGTCCCAAGCTTTTGTTAAAATCAGCATTCTTTTTTTTTTTTTTTAAGATTATTTATGAGAGACAGAGAGGCAGAGAGAGAAATAGGCTCCCTGTGGGATCGTGCCCTAAGCTGAAGGCAGATGCTCAACTGCTGAGCCGCCCAGGCATTGCTAAAATCAGCATTCTTTTACTTGTAGTCATGTCCCTTTATCCAGGTTTTCAATTTTTCATTTGAACAAATGGGATTTGTCTCATTTCTTCCATTTATCACTGCTTCTCACTTTTAGGGAGGAAATGAATTATTAAGATTGATAGTTTACTTTTAAAAACAGAAATCTAAACTTCCCATACTACCTGATAACACTTTATTTTCATAATTTAGATTTATGAATGTGGGCATCTATTAAAAAATGCTGAAAATTTGAAATTAATTTAGCAAATAATTCAGTCTCATTCTTAACACCATTTAAATATTTCTAGCACTCAGAAATCATGAGTTTTAGGGATGTTAGATGCCACTTGTAAGAAACCACCAGTGACTTTCATAGCTTGTAAATCAGAAGAATGATACAACTAAAGATGTTGTGGTCACATGTCATGTATTCAAAGTTAATATTTTGGATATTGTTTTTATATTGTTTCCTCAGGATAATCTTGGATGAAGCTGCTTTACATCTGTCTGACAAGTGTAATACTGTCACTATTAATTTGAGTAGAGGTAAGAGTTAAAAAACAAAGTCTGGGATGGATGAATGCTCTTTATTTTTTTATGTGACTATTTTAAAGTGTTTGAACTCTGGAATAATGCCATTGAACTAAGAATCTTATTAAATACCAGTTTGAAATTGTAATGTCCTTAGAACATTAGTTAAGTGCAGTCAAGTTACATATACTTTATTTAATATAAGATTAATTTTGTTCCTAAATAAAAGGAATTATAGGACTTTCATAAGGTGAAGCTGTATTTCTGTTGCATTCTAAATATTTGTACCACTAACTGCCATGAATTTTAAAGAGATGCTAGTTATATTACATGTTGGTTGGATAAGTATTTTGTGGAACCTTTTACTCAGATTATTTTGTTAATTAAAAAAATTCTAGATTACGTTCGTGTGATGGATATGGGGCTTTTGGAATTAACCATAACTGCAATGAAATCTGATTCTGATGGAGAGCAAGTAAGCTATTAAAATAAATGGAAATTTTTATGTAACTCCTGTTGTTTATAGGAGCGACTACAGAATTTACTGTAAAATTATTTTGGTTAAAAGTAGATAAAATGTTTTAAGATTTAGTTATAAATATACATTTCCTGTGGCAAGTAAAATTCTATTTTATTTAATGTAAACCTATGCAAAACAGGACATTTTTATCTCTTGTTTGGAAAACCTGTTTATTCCTTTTCCCTTGTGTCCATCCAGACTGAGCCACACTTTGAGCTACACTGTTCTAGTGACATTGTCCATATCCGAACGTGCTCAGACTCTTGTGCTGCGTTAATGAACCTCATTCAATACATTGCAAGCTATGGGGACTTACATGCAGCGAGCAAGGTAGAGATGAAGCCTGGAGCCCCTCACCGAAAGATGAAGGTAGAGCCGGCAGCATCGTTCATTAGAACTAACTCACCCCTGACACCTTGCAGCCACATGAGTGATGTGTGTGTGCCAGTGAGGTCCTCATGACAGTCATGAGGTAGAAAAGAAACTTTGAGAAAACTCCTAGTTGTTATTTACCTTCAGAGTGATAGGGTCCGGAAAGGTGACTCCGTGGGCCTTTTTGGAAAACCATTCTACTGTTTGATATTCTTTGTTTTGGAACATTCGTCCTCTGGGCCAATGCAGTACTTTCTTCCAGACTTGAGTTATTTTCATCTTCCCTCTGGAAGAAAGAAAACACTTAGCAAGAGCTTATTCTCTGCTAGTCATTTATGTAAAAATGCTTCTGAGAAGATAGATATAAGGGTTGGTATTATTACCAGACGACTAATGCTACCTTTTGTTACATATGGTTCTGTTCGATTTTCAGTATATTTTCTCGTTTCTGATTTTCTTTAGCTCTGTGTGATAGGTTAAAGAGGATCACTTCTGTTTTACAGATGAATAAGTTAAAACTCAGAGAATTAGGTGATTTGCTCAAATTAGCAAAAACAGCAACAAAACTCAGATACTTTGATTTCTGGGTCAGTGCTTTCTTATACTCTCATGTGCTTTCCTACGTATAGATTGAGCAATGTCTGGTTTGCTTAGCATTTTTAACTTGTTAGTGCTGCTTCATTGTCTTTCATGGCCTGCTCCGTGAACAGGATTCAGTCTCTGAGGTAACAGAGCCTCTAGTATGGGTCTGACTGGTCATACATTGTCTCTGGTTTAGATGCTCTGACACTTCATTCGTGTTATGCTTCAGGTTTGGACTTCTTGCTCCCATTGTCTTCTCACTGTTAAGGTGATTTATGAGACTCCCTCTCTCTACTGTTTATTCTCTTTTAAAAAACATTCTCCGGTTTATTAAAAGTTATTTTGAATTATTCCTTTCAAATTGGATCTTTCCATGTTAGAGTCATGCTACCATTTAAAAAGCATGGTCTGGATTTCATGAATGCACAGTTCACTAACCAAAATGATTAAGCACCAGTGCTGGAGTTGAACCCCATGAATCTTCACTTAGTAGATTTCCCCTGCTGTGTATGCCCCCTGATGTCCTGGGGTGTCTATTCACTCCAAGCCACAAGGCTCTGACCTCCAGCTGCTTTGTGCCATGGAGTGGTTGGTGTAGCTGCCAGATTTGAGCAGTTCCTACTCTGCAGAGAAAGACTGCCTCTCCCCAGGCCTCACTTTAGTGTTCTTAGTTTTGAATCTTCTAGGGTGCTTTCTCTCCACCATCCCAGCTTACCATCCTGGCTTTGAGGTGATGGCATGTTTATTTGTTTGCCAGTAGTTGTTGGGGTGGTGATGATGCTAATAGCTTAAAATGTAATAGCTTCCAGGCAGAAGGTAGAACAACAGCTGTGTTCTGTTTCTGCTGTAAACTGTAGTGTGTTTCTAGGACAAAATCATGCTAAGTAGTTTACTTCTTAGAGCATTTTCAGTTATTTTTAATTAGGTGTTTTGGCTGTAGGTAGATTCCAGTGGTCGCTCATCCTCACGAGGTCCAGTCCTTCCTGAAGCCGACCAGCAGATGTTACGTGATTTGATGAGTGACGCTATGGAAGAGGTTGATCTGCAGCAGGCTGCCGCGTCTACGCAAGCCCAGGCTAACGGTAGGACAGGCCAGGTCTTCCTCCCTGGGAGCACTGGGGCCACACTTGAAGCTTACGTTATTTGTCTGCTTATAAATTCTGCAGTGAGCAACTTATTAAAGAAAAGACAAGTCCAAGTTTTGGTAGATACTAGTCAATCCACTTGTGTGATCAAGCGACTAGTAGATAAATAACCACTGGCTAGGGTGTTGTGGGGGATACAGATTAAATGAAAGACAAAGCTTATCTTTTCTGTTAGCTTAGAGTTTCGTAAAACAGATTGGCACCAAGCCAGACTGATGCTTTTACTTAGAATGATTGAGAAATGACATGAGAAAGTGCTTGGGAGTGGGTAACGTTCTCAACTATTGGAATTGTCTCATTAGATTTCAGTAAAAGTGAGAGGAGTTGGCTTTTAAAGAGTGGTATGTGGGGGAAAAAAAAAAGTGGTATGTGGAGTGGGGAGAGAAGGTAGTCTTGGCAAGGTCATGAATGTTGAAAGAGGCGCAGAAGCCTTATCTTACAGCTTTGGCTCTTACTGGAACAACAACTCCCTTCTCATTGGAAAGAATTGGCCAGCAAAGGGAGGGACCAGCCAGTGGGAGAGCCTTCAAAACCAACTGGAAGCATCTAAGTACTTTGAAGCATCTATCTAAAAATATTTCTTTTCTAATTGGATGAACAAAGTCATTTCTATATGTTACGAAATCTTAATTTTTAAAAATTATCTCCTGGTATCATAAAATTTATGGTTAAATTGTTGATTTCATTCTAATTTAGCATAAATTAGAACTCAGGACCAAATAGGAACTTTTAGCAGCTAACCTACTTCTGTGGGAAAGAATATTTCATGAATATTTACTGAGCAGCTTCAGTTCAGGTGCACTGGACACTTATTTTTTTTTTTTAAGATTTTATTTGTTTATTCATGAGAGAGAGAGGTAGAGGTAGAGGTCGAGATACAGGCAGAGGGAGAAGCAGGCTTCATGCAGGGATCCTGATGTGGGACTTGATCCCAGGACTCCAGGATCACACTCTGGGCCAAAGGCAAGTGCTAAACCACTGAGCCACCCAGGGATCCCCCAGCACTGGGCACTTATAAAGGATGAGTAACTCCAAGGTGCTGCCATAGAAGAATTTAAAATCTGATCTATGAGCCTCTTGAGGCTAAGATGTCACTTTATTCATGTTCACATTCCGAGTCCATATTACAGTGGTTTGGAATGACCAAATGGAGAAAGAATTAGTGGATCTAATATGTAATAAAAATGTATATTCACATTCCAGATTTTGGCACATGTGCAGTCTTTTGTGAACCACATAAAGAGCTCCCTGAGAACAGGTAGCCTGTTTGGGTATTGAGTGCCCTGTTGAGTAGTCTGTTTATTGTAGGGCACCACTCCCTGGCCAAGGACCCACTTGGACATTGTTTCTGCCACCTCCCCTCTATAAGCAGAGATTTCCTATAGTTTTAGGGGAGGCTCTGCCAAATGTAACCAGGTGTTCCTCCCCTTGGGGTGTTGTTCCAGAAGCTTCCAGATCTCTGCCCACAGGACAGAGTTGTCAGTATGCAATTCTGGTTTAAACAAAACTCTAATCAACACTAACCAGCTGCTGCTCAATTTCTGAGCTGCTCTAGTGCGAAATAACAAAGAGGAGACTTGCTATGACTTTGAGACTGTCATTTACTGTTCTCATAGAGAACTTCAAACTTATCACTCTTTTTATTAGTAGTCAGAAGATTATGTAAGAAATGAGATGTAGGTGAGAACTGTATCTGACATGTAGTTACAATGTTTAAGTGTTATTGTTGATGTTTCAGAATGTGCCAAGTTGAGTGTTGTATTCTTTTTTACCTAGGTGTTTTGGATGAAAAATCTCAAATTCAGGAGCCTTGTTGTTCAGACCTCTTCCTGTTTCCAGATGAGAGTGGGAATGTGTCCCAGGAGCCTGGCCCTCCTTATACCTCATTCACACCCCACTTGATTAGTGATGCAATGGCAGGTGTGCCTACTGAGAATGACGACTTTTGCATTCTTTTTGCACCAAGAGCAAACAGTCAGGTAATAAATGGATAATACAATTGAGGCCTTTAGGTAGTGTTACAAATTGAATTGACCAAAGGGTACCTGAGAAGGAGTCTCTAGATTTTTTTTTTTTTTTTTTAGAATTCTTGGCACTTTACAGTGACTTCATTTTGTAACTTATTATTGAGGCTTTGCAAATGTTTGCTGTACTTCACTATTTATTTCTGTGACACATTACTCCAAAACTCAAAGATGCTCTATATTTGCAAAATTTAAAAAAAAACTTATTTAAAAATTATTTTAGATTTAAATTCAAGTTAGTTAACATATAGTGTATTAGTTTGAGGGCAAAATTTTCTACATAGATTATTAAACTACAGATGTTGGATGTAGTAAGATAGCTTTTAGGGCAAGGAAATGGCGAAAGGAGTGCTATCCAGAGTTGCTAGTCCAAGAATTGGGAAAGGTAAGACGCGGTTTGTGTGAAGACTGATGGATGGTTGATGAGTGTAATTGCCATGTGAGAGTCATGCTCACATTTAAAAAGTATGATCTAGATGTAATGAATACACAGTTCAACTAGAATAGTTAAGCATTAATGCTGGAGTTGAACTTCATGAGTCACCATTTAGTCTATATACATATTAAACTGCTTACTAATAACTTGGTGAATGTATTTGTTTATTACTTCATCCTAGGAAATTAAAAACATAAAAAGCAATTAAACATGGTAATTTGGTCAGTATATTGAAGTATGTTCAATTTGGAATGTAGTACTGATTTTGAATTAAAGAACTATACACACAGACACACATCCACAACAATACACACCCACTATATTTGTGCCTTTTTATTATCAAATAGTAAAGGCCAAATTGAATATGAAGACTCCTTGTGGAGTGATTTACATAGAACAGTAAGTCCATTCGATGCTGAATAATGCAGGGTATGCAGTGTGGTATTAATGTCAGTACTGGCCCAATTCATATATTGATATTAGAAAGAATGCAGAATCAAGAAATTTGAGTTATGCAGTATAATAATCAGTAATTTCTACTGAGACAAGACTGTGTGTTCCATGTTTATTTTAGGAGAAGGAAGAAGAGCCCGTTGTAAAAGTAATGGTTGATGATGCAATTGTAATAAGAGAGAATTACTTTAGTCAGCCTGTTAAGAAGACTGATACGAGCAAAGCCCCATTGCATTTTCCGGTCCCTGTCGTCCGCTATGTTGTTAAAGAAGTCTCTCTTGTTTGGCATCTTTATGGAGGAAAGGATTTTGGAACCGCCCCTCCTACTTCTCCAGCTAAAAGTTACATGTAAGTTGAATTCTACATAAGCTTATTTATTTATTTTTTTACCGCCACTATATTCTTTTCACAGAGAAATACATAGAATTTGTCATTTTAAGAATTAAGGGGCCCCTGGGTGGCTTCATTGGTTAAGCATCTGCCTCTGGCTCAGGTCATGATCTCAGGGTCCTGGGATGGATCCCTGCATTGGGCTCTCTGCTCAACAGGGAGTCTGCTGTTCCCTCTGCTCATGAGCGCTCTCTCTCTCAAATAAAATCTTTAAAAAACTTTTTAACAAAGTAGTATTGAAAACTATGTAATTTAGGGGCACCCTGGTGGCTCAGTGATTGAGCTTCTGCCTTTGGCTTAGGTTGTGGTCCTGGGGTCCTGGGATCGAGTCCCACATGTGGGGAGCCTGCTTCTCCCTCTGCCTGTGTCTCTGCCTCTCTCTCATGAATAAATAAATAAAATCTTTACAAAGAAAGAAAACTAATTTAAATGTTACTCTTTTAATGTAAAAGCTTTTCATTTCTAAACATCGTTGCATTGTTTGTATATTTACTAAAACGTGACTTAAGTGATTGCCATTCAGCAAAATATTTTGGATATTTACCAAGTGCCAGAGTTTGTGTTAGAGGCACATTCACTAAAATGAGTAAGACTCAGAATCTGCCCTCTGTTCAAAAGTACCATTATGTAAGCAGATGAGGGCAATGAAGTGAAGTGTATGCCTCAAGAGGCAGGGACCATGCCTGGCCCTGAATCTCCTGCGTCCAGTAGACTGCCAGGCAAGAGGCGATGCTCCTGAAGTACTTGTTAAATGAGTGCATTGTTCGGTGGGTCTAGAAGAGGTCTACAGAGACTAGGTGCAGTGGGGTGAACATTCTTATCAGGGTGGGAGGATCAGAGAAGGCTTCAGGGAATGATAACCTCTGGCACAACAGTATATAGACTTTCTATTTAAAAGTGATTTTTAAGAACTTACAACTTCAATTCTCTTCTGTATTGATTGGGATATTTAGGATTTGTACTCTGACTGTAAGAAGTTTCTGATGTACTAAAGAATTTCTCAAGAGTTCTCATTTTTACATGTCCTGTTATATGAATGCCAAGACCATAGTTAGTTTTTCCAGAGTCGTAAATATTTAGCAGGCAGATGATTGCCACAACAGCAGTAATAAAATTCACGTTCTCAGTGTCTCTAAAGCATAAAGATGTAGATTTAATATAGGGAAATACAGTTTGTGGCCATGTGTTGATAGTTCTATAATCTTATTTTCTCTTTTTATCTTGCTGTTTTTCCTGAGGTTATTCATTACCTTTCTTTAAATATTTCCTTTAACAAAAGGTTTATTTATTCTTATTTTTTATTTTTATTTTTCCATTTATAGCAGTCCTCACAGCTCACCTTCTCACACACCCACAAGGCATGGACGCAACATGGTATGTGGGGGAAAAGGAAGAAACCATGACTTTTTAATGGAAATACAATTAAGCAAGGTAAGGTGGCATTTTGAAAGGAAAAAGCCACTGAAGTAAGAGCATTAATAGCGGTTCTTTGGTTACTCCCCAACCTTGTGGTCTTGAGTCCTAAGTCCCAGCCCTTTGGATTGGAAAAGTGCAGGGGGTTTGTAGAACTTTTACTTTTTCTTTCTCAGGTGTTCTGAGAAGTTTGAGGGGTTTTGTTTCATTTTTGTTTTCCCAGGCTGTCCCTAGAGGAGTGTCTTTCAGAGTTGAGCAAGCATCAGAATCCTCTTGAGGGCTTATTAAAACAAGTTGCTGGGCCCCAGAATTTCTGAATCAGTAGGTCTGAGGTGGGGCTCATGAATTTGCATTTTTAATGAGTTCCCAGGTGATTCTGATAATACCCTTTCCCAGGACTACACTTGGGAAACCACTGCCCTGGGATATGTCTGGAAGGGCCTGCTATTGGATAAGACCTGTGTGATCATATCCTTCATGAATGTGTAGAGACCAGTATGTTCAGGTCACCAATGACATTATATGCATTCAATTCTTCCAGCTTATCTGGGATTGTGCCAAGTGTCATATATATATTAGGGTACTTAACATGGAGATATTGTAGTGATGCAGATTCCATGCATTTGCTTGTATCCTTGCCCCCCTTTGGAACTTGAGCCCTGCCTCCACTGGTTCTTTCTCAAGTGGTTTCATAGGTATGCAAGATGATAATTTTGTGTATTTTTTTTTTTTTAATTTTTATTTATTTATGATAGTCACACAGAGAGAGAGAGGCAGAGACATAGGCAGAGGGAGAAGCAGGCTCCATGCACCGGGAGCCCGATGTGGGATTTGATCCCGGGTCTCCAGGATCACGCCCTGGGCCAAAGGCAGGCGCTAAACTGCTGTGCCACCCAGGGATCCCCCTAATTTTGTGTATTATTCCTATGGAGGGTTTTGCTTGAAAAGGATAAGGATTTTGCCAAGATTGAATAAGAAATGTCATTTGAGCTTATCCTTGTGTGGTGGGGCATACGTAGATCAATATAGTGAACAAATGAAGGGATGTTCTGTTCTCTGAAAGTGGAGTGGAAGCTGAGAATTCAAAGAAAATGATGGGTGATACTTTGCATTTTAAAGAGGAAAACTAATTTAAATAAAAGGTAAAAATTGTTGTGTGTGGTTTTTTTGTCTGTGAAGGTGAAGTTTCAGCACGAGGTCTACCCGCCTTGCAAGCCAGAGTGTGATTCTGGCCTCCTAGAGCACCCAGTCTCCCGGCAGGTGTTCATTGTGCAGGATCTTGAAATTCGAGATCGTCTGGCAACATCACAAATGAATAAGTTTTTGTACCTGTATTGTAGTAAAGAAATGCCTCGAAAAGCTCATTCCAACATGGTAAGATTTAAGACCTCATGTTTTCTGTTGTGTATTTTTCAAAAAGTATGTTTATTGTATCTAACTGCAGAAGATTTAGATTGGAGAAAATTGAAGGTTTTTTTTTTTTCATGCTAATATGAAAATCCCTTTTAAATATGCCACTTAACGTTTTATTTAAAAATTATTTTACATGTCACTTTTAGGGCCCATTAATTATTATTGCTGACGATACATGAGGAAAACCGGAAGTCCATAGTGATCTACACAAAATGTTTAGTATTGCTGGAAGTTTTCCAGATTTCTAACACTTTCTGAATTTTAGTGGAATAGGAATGATTCAGGATTGCTGGAAGAAAATGTCCTAGAAAGCCATCTTTGGAGGGTGGCTCTATAGGTTCGCTTCAGGGGCCCAGCGGGCTCCCAGGACACTGTGTACAGCACTGTCATTTGCATCTTTCCCACTAAAGAGAATCCATCTCTCTCATGAGGTTTTTCAGGGAGTGTGTGACCCAGAAAAGTGTGATTCAGGCTTTTAAGGAAAAGGGAGGAAACCATTCCACTTTTAGTTCTCCTCTAAGGAGTAACATTGGGATTTTTTGTTTGATTCTTTTCTTTTTTTTTTTTTTTTAAAAAAAAGAAAACAAGTTTGTAATTTCATTGGGGAAAAAATATTCTTCTTATCTTGTAGCTAACAGTGAAAGCATTACATGTGCGACCGGAGTCTGGCAGGTCACCACAAGAATGCTGCTTGAGAGTATCCCTAATGCCACTTCGCCTCAATATTGACCAGGTTTGTATTGCATGCATCGTCTATGAAGTTACGCTTATATGTCCCAGATTCAGAAGGAGAGGTGTAATTTCATTGAATTAAAATGTTCATTGTTACTTAACTGTTAGGAAAGTTACATAATTAAAGCGGAGTTCTGCTGGTAAGGAACAGGGCCAATTCATCAGGCATTTGGGATCTGAACTGCTGGAGAGTAAACATTAGTAGGTGTTGTGCTCCGGTCTTCTCATTTTCTACGTGACCTAGCACTCACTACATGCTTCCCATTTTCCCATGCTCACATATGCACACTCGTGAAGGTACTCAGGTATTTTCAGAGAGTAGGAAATGACTCCCTGACATCTGTGATGGAAAGATCAGAGGGTTTGTCTCTCTCTCTCTCTCTCTCTCTTTTTTTTTTTTTTTTTAAGATTTTATTTATTTATTCATGAGAAACACACAGAGAGAGAGGCAAAACACAGGCAGAGGGAGAAGCAGGCTCCATGCAGGGAGCCCGACGTGGGACTCCATCCCAGGTCTCCAAGATCACACCCTGGGCTGAAGGCGGCACTAAACCGCCGAGCCACCAGGGCTGTCCTTCTGCCCTGGGCAAGATGACAAATGAGTAAATTTGGTACTTAAACAGGTCACAACAGAGATTTGTGGAAAGGCATAAATCCACTTTGCCATGTTCTAGCAAATATTCCATCAAATTATTCTGGGTTTTGCTTTGACTCAGCTGCTTAAAACCTAGTTGGTGCCTCTTATGCAGACATGACTTAGGGTGTATGAACACGTGATGCTCTGCTGTCGTGCACTATAGCAGTGAGGCGTATGGGCTGGGGAGTCAGACTGGGGTTTATACCTGCTGTTGTCTTTCCCTAGTTAGGTGGCTTTGGGGAAGTTACTTCTCTAAGCCTTACTTTCTTCACTGACAAAATCAAAGTAATAGCAGTAGATACAGCTTCATTTTTTTTAAAAAAAAATGAGGATCGAATGAGACTAGCATTTATTAAATATTTAGCTTGGTGCCTGGCACACAGTGTTAAAGATCAGAAGTTGTTAGCTGTTGTTCTTATTAGCTGAAGCACGTCACAACTGACGAAAATCAATGGAAAATAGCCTGCTTTTGAAATAACAGAATTGCCCTGTTGCACCTTATGTTGGTGTGAAAAGTAGAGTATATATGGGATAGCACTCTTTGCTTAAGTGGTGTAGATTCATAATGTTGACTTGTTATTTAAATAAGAAATGGAGCGATTTTCATCTAGGGAAGGGCAAGTAGATGATGAAGGTCATGTAACTGGGCAGTTTGAGATCTGAACTGTGAAGAGGCCAGTTTTCTGACTCTTCTAGTCTGGTATCTATTTCAGTGTTGTATTGTCTGGAAATATGTGTAGGGAAGATACGCTTGTTAATCCCAAATGATTTGTGGAATGCCAGCCTCTTTCCAGGTCCTATAGTAGGATGCTGAGGATACAAAGATAAGTGAACATCCCCATCCTAAAAGATCTATGTACGGAGTAGATACTGACATAAAACAGATTACTTTAACACCCTGTGGTGAGGATCAGTGATAAAGATAGACATAATCTATAGTCTATAGTATGTCCCAGTAGAGGGGGCTCCAAAGCCAGGCAGGGAATTCAGAAGAATAAGGGGTAATCAGGAAGGGCTTTCTGAAGGAGATGACACTCGAAGTGAGTCTTAAAGGAATGTAGGGTCTTATGGAATGTGGTGGAGTTAGTTGCATTAAGATTTTTGTACAGGCACTGAGGCCTAATTCAGGTTGTGAGAAGAGATGTGAAGCTGTTCTGGTAAGTTATGTGCTTGGCTATGGCTGGAGATGGTGAATACATAGCAGTACTAGTTTGCACATTTGTGGGGTTTTTTTAGCATCATTACTTGATTGCCTCAATATGGCATTTTAATTATTTTAACACTTTAAGTCTTACTGTACTGTTAGTATCTTCTATCATAGGACCTTAAATAAACTAGAAATAGCTATAGTTGAAGTTTGTAAAAATAAACCAAATTTTTTAAAGTTTTAAGAAGAAGTTGATTGTATGGAGGTGTAATTTGCATATAATAAAGTGCCAGGATTTTCGGTGTAAGGTTTGAGCTTGACAGGTACGCGCACTTAAGTAACCACTGCATCAGTTGAAATAGAGAGCATCTTCTGGTCCCCTCAGAGTCATCCCCTCCCCCTCCATTGTGGTTGGTCTCCACACCCCCTAAAGCCACCATTGACCTTCCTATCGCCATAGGTTAGCTAAATGGAAATGTATTTGGCTTCCTGTGCCAGGAGCTTCATCTTTGTGTGATCATCTGAGGCTAATCTCTTCATTTCTTTCAGTCTGTTCATTGTGCTGAGTACACATTTCATTGTATGACTGTGCCCCAATTTGTATATCCATTTGGGTGGTTCTCTTGTTTGGGGCTGTTACAAATAAAGCTGTTATGAAGTTTGTATACCAGTTTTTTATGGACCTATGTTTTCAGTATTATAAACAGTTTCCAGGCCATAAGGTAGATAGGTGTTTGAGCATTGTAAGAAACTGCCAGTTTCCCACCATGGTCATACCCTTGTGGATTCTCCCCATGAGAGGTGCTGCTACTTCACATTCTCACCAAACCTGATATTTTTAATTTTAATGATTTTATTTGGTGTTCATTGTGGTTTTAATTTGGATTTCCTTGATGACTAGTGATGCTATAAGCATCTTTTTATATGCTTGACAATTGTATACCCTTCTGTAAAGTGTCTGTGTCTTGCTAGTTTTAAAATTAGATTGTTTTATTGAGTTGTAAAGAGTTTAGCAGAAATACCAGATCAAAACTTCTGAGAGCATATTGAAACGCTGATGATTAGTATCTCCTCTTCTCTTGTTTTGTGCATTTGTAGTGAAAGTGCGCATGCACACACACACACACACACACACACACACACACAAAGCCACTGTCTCTGTAGTCTTCCTTTTTTTCAAGAGCAATTTATACTTGGAATTTTCTTCTGGGTTTAAAAAAAATTTTTTTTGAAGGCAGTTATAGAGTCAAAGCATTTATTGCATTAAAATATCACCATCTAGTGGTCAAAGAGTAACATTTTAGGTACTAACCTTGTAAACATCTAATATTTGATATAAATATATATCAAATGTGTAGGTATATGTACACACATGTATCTATATAGTAATATGTGTGTAATGTGAATAGCAAAATATATACATATATAAATGTAAAGCATAATGTAATGAGCAATTCTGTGAACTCACTGCCTTACTGTAGAACCAAAATATTTTTGGTACTGTTGAAACTACTTGCTTGTTTTTCAGTTTCATCCCTCAGGCTCCCATATGCCATGGTGGCTAGAAAAATACCTTTCTGATTTTCATCATTTATGCTTCTGACCAATGTGATTGATAGTTGATCAGATCCTTTGGAATTACCAAACTTATGGCATACTGTGAAATAACATGACCCTGTAATTCCCCACCACACTGCATTATGGTACAATATTAATGTTTTGTATTAATTGAGAATTTTTTTAAATGAAAGGGAAATATAAGAAGAGGCTCAGGTATTTAATTTTTGTATTTTCCAAGAGGGATTTGTTAGTATGAATGAGGTAGGTAAAATGAAGCTGCTAGTATTGGGACAATGTGGCTTGCTTGGACAACATTAAGACAAGTCCATGCAGTTTTGTCCTTATATAATTTCAAAAGAGACCACATACTGGGTGATTTTTACTGATTTTAATTTTGAATATCACATCCAATGAAGAAAATGTATTAACGCAATATAACAGTGGTAAAGGTGGAAATAAGATAGATCTTGCAAGGTACACGCAAGTATCTAGTCTGCCAGTTGCTATTACTTGTGTTGGTAATATCCCCACCACCAGTTCAAGTGAGAAGTGATGTTAAAGAATAAGAACATTGTATTTCTAAGAAAACTGAAGTGTACTTTGATTTAGAAATAGCTATGTAATTTTTAATTTCTCTGTGTCTTAATTTCACATCTATAATTTTCTCAGAGTTGTGAGAATTAACAAGGAAGTGTGTGTGTGAGTGAGTGAGCAAGTGAGCGAGCGATGGGACTAGGAACAGTGCCTCACACAGAGTAAGAACTCAACAAATTATAGTGCTGGATGAATAATGAGTAAAATATGGGACCTTAAGATACTTTGTAGTTTTAGAAATGTCTCCCCTCTCCACCTCTGCCTTTTGCTTATAATTACATCTTTTCATTTTAGGATGCCTTGTTCTTCCTGAAGGATTTCTTCACAAGTCTTTCCACGGAAGTAGAGCTTCTAATGGCTCCAGATCCAGAAGGTATTAAATGTGTATAGTTTGATAAAGTCTGTAACAAGTACTTGGATTGATTTTGATTGTTATGAGGCCTTTTTGAGAGTGTACTTATAGTCTTTATTCTCATTTATATAAATGTGTTTTGTATTTTTTTAAATATTTTACAAATGCAGTTTATGTCAGAGTAATAATTTAAAAGGCAGAAGTCAATTTTCTCTGTACCAGTAATTATGTTTATTAAATGAAATGTAGCAAAACAAGTTAAATCCACATTAATTTTAAATGGTTGCTCTGTAGAAGGGTTCCTCATTTTTCAAATGTGCATATTACTTTTTTAGTTAAAAAGTCTCCTGGAGCTGATGTTACCTGCAGTTTGCCAAGGCACTTAAGCGCCTCCAAGGAGCCAAATCTAGTTCTGTCTTTCCCTGGGCCAAAGCAGCCTTCCCAAGATGATAGTGCCAATTCAGCGGAAGTGGTTAATGGGGAAGAAGAGAAGGACTTCTCAGCTGAAGAAACATCATTTAGTGATCAGCCCGTGTTTTTTAGGTAAGTCACTTGATTTTGATAACAAATGGAGTATTTTAGAGCTTTGTAGTTGGTTATTTAATGTGTTAGTGTACCACTAATCATGAGGTTACAACAGGTTTTCTTTGTGCTCTCAAACAGTAACTGGTATCTACGTGTGGGCTCCATGCATCATGCACCCCTTGATGCACATAGTAACCCTGGTTCAGGAGTCCTTTCTCTTGATTCTGGAGCAGAAATATTCTTTTCCTCTTGCTGCTTCATTTTCCCTCCTGTCCCTCTTCCCAGTTGCTGTTACAGCTTATTTGTACCTCCTGATGTCCTTTCCTCTTTTCCTTTACACACCTGGGCTTCCCTGTGCTCCCCTTCTCCCGTGTGGGAATTTTCTGTCTGGTTTTCCATCTGTTCTTCCCCATCACTGTTGTCTTTCCTGACCCTTCAGTCTCTGGCTCAGTGAGCACTCTTAGGAGAGACAGGTCTGCTGTGCTGGTGCTGTGTGCTCTCACTATTGCCCCACAACTCAGCTAGCTGCTTGCATGCTGGCATTTACTCTCATTCCCAGACCCATTCACGTTTCCCATCTTCATTCTTTCCTGGCCTTTCATGGGGGGCATGGAGTCTTGGCTCTGTTGGAAGGAGTAAGGAGGAAGACCCATGCCACCAGTATTGTGAGGGGCAGTTAGTTACTTCCCCTCATTTCCTGTACTCTCCATGGGCCCCAAATTCTGTCTTTTCAAGCCGACTTTAGGTTAGACATTAGGTATGGCCCAAAGCTCAATTTGACTATTTAAAGTGCATTCATGTTTATATGTCTTGTATGCTGTAGAAAAGAGAAAAAAAGAACTATGAGAATTGGAAAGATCCTGGGATAGAGGGTCTCTGGCAGTTCTAAACCTTTTACCAGGAAAGAAGAATCTCTTTTATTACTTTCCCACATTGATCTTTAAAAGTTTTTTTGCTACCAAAAAATTGTGTATCAGAAGTAGGAATTTGAATTCTCATTTTATATTAATCACACCTGAACTCTTAGTTTGGTTTTTGTGAACACTGGATAACCAGTCCAAAGGAAATTGAATTGTTAACAGTTGGGGCCTGAAAGCAAAGAATTTGACACTTTTTTGTCAGTTTGTGTAGTCTTAGGTAAATGTTGTGGGTTTTTTTTTTTCATTAGACTATTTAAAATAGCTTATGGATTTGTTTCTACTCTTGAAAGCTCCTAGAAGGCCTAGGATGCAGGAGTGGCAGTCAGTGGTATAATCCAGATTACTCACTTCACAGACAAGGAACTTTAATCTCCAGAGAAGTAAGTTGACTTGCTCAAGACCACACAGCTAGTGGCCGAGTCAGGACCAAAACATTGATCGTAATCCCCAGTCTAGTGCATTTTCTAAGTGATGGTCCAACCATTCCACAAATATTCATTGAGCTCTTCTTACTCTGTGTATGCCAGGTTTTGGCACAGTGAACAAAATCAAGAAAAATCCCTATGTTATTGAGCTTACAAATAATTATCTGATCTGTCATATTATGTACCATGAAGAAAACAAAGAATAAGAAAGGAAGAGAACCAAAATGCCCAGAGAACCAAATGGAGATGGGTATTTGGAAGGTGAATTACCTGGGGTCTCAGGCTTCTTTAGTGACTAATGTGTAAATACAGCATTTCCATTTTACTGTGGGCTAAATTAGACTTCTGTGGAATGGCTTAGGATATAAATGCAAAAAAAAAAAAAAAAGGATATAAATGCAGACGTTAATTCTGTAGAAAAATTGTGTTTGAGTCTAATTTAACAGTCCAGTTTTGGGAAGCCAGCTCCTTTTGTTTGTTGTATACTATTGGTATATAATTATGATTTCATTCTCACAGAATTCCCAGTGTTTGTGTGTCAAACATTAATTTCAAGAATGCTCACTAAAATTTACCAGCATAGGTGGCATATTAAAGATTTACTAAGATGTGTGGTAGGCTCAGAGTTTAAGTTCTTTCTCATGGTACATCACATATACCTCACAAAACTGAGATTTGTGGCTGGCTTTTCTAGCCACTTTCTGCTTCGTGATGGAGCTGAAATAAATCCCCCCCCCCCCCTTTTTTAAACTTCTTGGTAATGATTATATTATTTGGTTTAATCTTGAAGGTTGCTTTTCTTATTTCTCCATATAAATTGAGAATATCTGCCAGAATAAATTCTTCTAGGGTAAACATCTAGTAAGCTAGATGTTTTTTGTGAAGATTTAAATAAAATAAATACAACGTATAAGATGATTAACATTAGTTTAGTAATACTACTTTAAGAAAAAGTAGAGCTAAAAGACATTGCCCTTTGTTTAGGCTTTGAGATCTTCACATTATTAATCTTGTGGCTTTGTTTTTATTATCCATTTGAACAAATTATATCTAATCTCAACTATTAGTACTTTTGAATATAAATAACTCTCCTCCTTTTTTTTATCTTCAGAGAATTTAGATTCACATCAGAAGTTCCTATTCGACTTGATTATCATGGCAAACACGTATCAATGGATCAGGTTTGGAAACTTTATATAAATATACTCTATAAGATTATCTCCCTTGTTTTCTCTAATGGAGTTAATTTTTAAACTTTTCTGTCACGGTTTATATGTTTGAAATGACATGCAAGATTTTAAAATTTAACTCTTTTTAAAGTAAACATAATTTACTTTAACCTGTGAGTAATGGGTTATATATATTATTATGTTTTTTTTTTTGCTGTAAATATTTTGTTTTAGCTGCATTAGTGAATGACTATTACTTTGACTTGCCCAAATAACTATTTTAAATGTTAGCTCTTAATTACACATTAATCTGGCTTTTTAAAATTTTTAAGGGTACACTAGCTGGGATTCTGATTGGTCTGGCCCAGTTAAACTGCTCAGAACTGAAGCTAAAGAGGCTTTTCTACCGGCATGGGTAGGTCAGTTTAAATCCTATAAGGCTTTACGGTATAGTGACTGCAATTAGTTTACAACAGATCAAACACTGATTTTTCTTAGCAAACATAGATAATTATTTTACAGTATTGTGTGCAGAGAGCTCGTTTTCAGAGGAGGCTTACTGATTAGGAGCTACTAATAACAGAGTAGTATTTTTCAAAAATAGCTATAGTTATTTTTTAATAATAAATTTGATAATTTCATAAAAATTCATTCATTTAGTGAAAAGGCTGGAAGTTCACAATATAATGACTGTTAATAGCTGAGAACCATGTAGCAATTTGTAGACATTGAGTTAATCCTGTGCTAGAGCTTTAAAGATTTTATTGTTTTGAGAGAGTGAGCGTGCACACGTGCGTACATGCAAGTGGGGGGAAGGGCGGAGGAGGGGAGGAAGGAAGACCGAGAATCTCAAGCAGACTTTGCACTGAGTATGGAGCCTGACATGGGGCTCGATCTTACGACTCTGGGATCATGACCTGAGCTGAAACTGAGTCTGCTGCTCAACCGACTGAGCCACCCAAGTGCCCCCTATGCTAAAGCTTTAGATGTTCAAGAAATAGGAACTGTGGAAGAACACATTTATACATGTTACTGAAGCCTTGTAGAAATTACTAACATTAAGCTGGATTATGTATATGTGTACATATGTGTGTGTGTGTATGTGTGTGTGTGTGTGTATATATATATATATATATATATATATATATTTAGGTCAAACATCTATAATATTTTATCTTTGTAACTGGTAAATTTTCTTTTATCTTAAGTTAAAAAATCCCCCCAACATATTATTTTTTTCTCCCAACATATTATTATGCTAAGTGAAATAAGTCAGTGAGAGAGACAAATACTGTATGATTTCACTCATGTGATGAAGATGAACATACGGGAACAGTAGGAAAAATAAAATAACAGAGAGGGAGACAAACCATAAGAGACTCCACTCCAGGAAACAAACTAAGGGTCTCTGGAGGGGAGGTGGGGGCTGGGGGGGTGGAGAATGGGATAACTGGATGATGGGCATTAAGGAGGGCACATGATAGAAGGAGCACTGGGTGTTACATGCCAGTGATGAATCACTAAATTCTACCCCTAAAACTTAAAAAAAACAAAAAACCCCAACTTACCTGAAACTACAAATTTCTTTCTTTTTTCTGTATACTAATAGTCATTTGCTCTAGCTTGCTAGGTGTTGACAAATTGTTTTCATATGCAATCACCGAATGGCTTACTGACATTAAGAAGAATCAGCTACCAGGAATCTTGGGAGGTGTGGGGCCTATGCATTCACTAGTACAATTAGGTGAGTTTTCTTTTTTAATCAAAAGATGATTTATTGCCTGATCTGTGATTCTTAACCCATTTGGAGTTATGAGTGCCTTTGGGACAGTCTCTGTGAGGACATGTGTGCATGACCACACATGTAAGAGCACTTGGCATCCCATTTGAGGTTAAAAACCCCAGGGTTAAAATGATGGCAGGGTTCTGATCTCCAGCACTCCTGCTGATCTCTCTGTATTGACTGTTGTTCTAGTGCAAGGCCTAAAGGACTTGGTCTGGTTACCGATAGAGCAATACCGGAAGGACGGTCGTATTGTCAGAGGGTTCCAGAGAGGCGCTGCCTCCTTTGGCACCTCAACAGCGATGGCTGCTCTCGAGCTCACAAACAGAATGGTTCAGACTATACAGGTATTCTCCACAGACTGCCTTACTTACTGTACAGAGAGGAATAGCTACTGTAAAATGATTGTTTTTTTGTTTATAAAAAGATATTTTGATTTAAAAAGTATTTTTAAATATACAAATGTTGAGAATAGAGGTTTTATTTATGATTTGATGTTTTTGTTTTGTTTTTGTTTTATTGCTCAGCTGTTCAGTGTTAAGTAATTAGTAGAATACAGCAGTGGAATACGATGTCAGATTTGTGTATTTCACTTAAATTGTAATCATTAAGTTAGTCGAGGATTTATCTTGCCTCATTTATATGAATAGATCATAGCCAAATGTGAAGAAAGCATTACAGATCAAACAGTAGACGAATTAAGGTTTGTTATGTTAAGTATGAGGCTCTGGTTGACCTTATCCAGTTGTTCACAGACAGGGCATTCTGATTCACCTGGTAACATGGAGAGTGTTCTCAGAAGGACAGAGGAGCGACTGAGAAAGTCCCCTCAATCCATGTACTAGTTCTCAGCATGCACTTCTATATTCTTGTTCTAAAAGTGCTAAGTTTTTATTGTGAACAACTCCTGATACTGCAGAAGTGCCTGCGTTAGGGCCTGCAAGTCCCTCTGTTCTTCCTCACTCCCGATGAGAAGTGCATTATTGAAGCATAACTCTGCAGACTTCCTTCTGATTCGTTTCTTACTTTATGATAAAATGATCCAGGCAGCAGCAGAGACTGCTTATGACATGGTATCTCCTGGGACCCTTTCTATTGAGCCCAAGAAGATCAAAAGGTTTCCTCATCACCGCTTAGCCCACCAGCCAGTGGACCTGCGAGAAGGTGTGGCCAAGGCCTACAGTGTTGTGAAAGAGGTGAGTGCTTACCTGAGTGGGCGGGCCAGAGCCAGATGGCCTGCTTCCTGGCGTTTAGCACTTTAAAGTTAGCACAATACCTGCCTGATTTAATCTACATTCATTTGAAAAAAATATTTATGCACTTACTTTGTGCCAGCAAAGTAACAGCAACTGTTAAAGGTAGGTGGTGTTCCTCACTTGCCCATGAGGACACCAGCTCAGCAGAAATGGCTCCCCAGTGTAGTCGGGTGAATCGCTCTTGGGCCACGATTGGACCCTGGGAAATCGGATCTGCCATGTGGTTCTTTCTCTAAAACTGTCAATGTGAAGAATGGGGTGAGAACGGAAGGTGAGAACAGTGAGCGGGATTGAGATAGTAGGGTGTGCTTGATTAGATGGAATCTGACTTCTGTGTTAAAAACTTTTTAAAATAGAGGCTTCCTACATGGTGATAATTTGTCTTTTCCCTTCTAGAGGTTAGTAATTCAGAAGATTGAGAAAAAACATTCCAGATGTTTCACAGATACGCTCGTCCTTTAGACCTGGGCGCTCGGCACACCAATAGATTATATGTCACATCTGGCCCAGACTTGTTTTTGTGTGGCCCTGTTAGCTCAGAATTATCTTAACAATTTTAAAGGATTGTAAAAAAAGAAAGAAAAAGCATATACGATAGAAACTGTATGCCCACAAATATTTGCCATCCTTTCCAGAGAAAGTTGGCTGATCCCTGCTTTACATCATTCCCCTTGGTGGCAGACAGGTAGCTGTGGTGAGGGTGGCAGTGGTCCAGGCATGCTTCCCGAGCACTACATGCCTGCTGTGCTGTGCAAGTGTCTCTGGCTGCATTGTGTCATTGAAGTCTGACACTTACCACAGAATTTTAATTTCCCATTGAAAGGACTTGACTAACAAAAGAATGAAAGAAAGGACTCTGCTAAGGTAACACACTTAAGTGATGGAGCTGAGATATTAATTCACTTGTGTTGTCTCCAGACTCAGTATGGTACTCACTCTCACTGTATTATAATCAACTAGTACCTGTTTATTATTTGTGGGCTAGGGAGGGGAGCTGAGAGAGGAGGGAGAATGATGATGGGGATGAGTGGATCCCACCATGAGCATTTTCTTTATTGTTTTGGTTTCTCTTATTGTAGATAGTTTTAAAAATAACAGTTGTTTCTTTTTTTTGTTTGTTTGTTTTTAGTTCTGTACTTTTTCTTGGTATTACATATTTTTGCTGCCGTGTCAGGAAGAAATGATACTCTTGTTAGCTTGTCGGAACGATGGCTGGGTTCTGGGTTCAGACAGGGTTCCTCGGTTTCCCTGGAGAGCCCAGAGTTCCTTGTGCCACACTGAAACAGTCACAAAGTCCCTCGTGTACCCTGAGGAATTGAGTTAGACCAATGGGAGATTCAAAAGTCACGTGAAGTTTTACCACTTTGGCTTGATTGACACACTTATATATTCAGCTTTAAAGCATTTTAGCAGTCATGATTATTTTGATGTTACACAGTTATAAGAAAATGAAAAATGCTACAGAAACTTTTTAATTTTTAAACATGTCCCTGCTTTATGTTCTTAGAATTTTTTCTATTTAATTTATTAAGATGTTCTATTTAGCCTTTTATCTTAATTGAATATTCCACAATTATCTTTTCTAGTACATAGCCAGTAATTTAAAAACAATTTTCTGGAGCTTCATAGGATTCGATTTTTCTGTTACAGTTGAATCAAAGGAACTATCACCGTGTTCCTTTTGTGATTATATTTATTCTAGAAGCTTTGTTTGCTAAGTTTAACTAGCTAGAGTGATTAATAGTGCCAGGAAAGCTACTCTTGGATCATTAAATATTTCTTTGCACTTCCCTACATGAACTGGTAGCTTAGCTACATTTTCTACATGCACGTGTCACAACAAAATCCTAAATCATAATAATTGCCTTTTATTTTCCCTTATAATTATAATTTTGTCATAATTTTCCGGGGTTATCTCAAAAGCACAGTGGGTTTTTTTTTTTTTTTTTTGTCTTGTTACAAGCATAATGTTGATGAACTCTGCTAAAGTTGTATGCAATAGGATAATTTAGAGATTTTTCTGACCTTCTTTCCTCTACCCCCTTTAGGGACTTACAGACACAGCTCAGACGATTTACGAAACTGCAGCACGAGAACATGAGAGCAGAGGGGTCACTGGTGCTGTGGGCGAGGTCCTGCGCCAGATTCCTCCTGCAGTGGTGAAACCTCTGATTGTGGCCACAGAAGCGACATCAAATGTATTAGGTGGCATGAGAAACCAGATTAGACCAGATGTTCGGCAAGACGAGTCACAGAAATGGCGCCATGGGGAAGACTGATATTTCCGACACAATTCTTTATGAAGATATTATGAGGGTGGAAATAAGGAGTGGTGTCCCATTGGCAGCTTTAGAGGTTATTCATTTAACTTTATTGTGCTCATCTCAGGAACAAAAGCATTTCTTAGCTAAATAATTTAATATCAAAGCAACATGCAACCAAAAACTTGTGACATTTTAGGGCTAGTTTGGTACTTGCCTAGAGGAATGTTTGGTGGCTAGTGTCAAAAGTCCTTCAGTGTTTGCTGCCAAGTGAGTGGAATCCTTTTATTAAAATGGCTGTACTTCTCCTTGGTATAGATAAGAGATCATTGGAAGCCTGTTACAGTACAGAGTGCTCAGAAACATTTGCGTACTTTGAAAGCACTATTTATGTTGCCCTGAGGAGTTGATTTATTTCTCAAGGTTTAAAAAAGAATCACAGCTTCAAAACTCTCATTGAGAATGAGAGACAGAAGCCACAGGGAAAGCACAGCAAATAGGATTTTAATATAAATATCACTGAGGAATAAATAACTTAGTCTGCTGGATTTAGTGTCCGTGCACTTGAGAACATTATTTCCATTCCCTCAAAAAAGCTTTCTGTGGGCATTTGAGGACGTGAATGTCGCAGACATGTTCTGTTGTGTTGCACTTTATCGTGTGTGTGTGTGTGTGTGTGCGTGTGTGTGCGCGCGCGCGCGCGTTTAGATTAATACAAGTCGTGATATATTCGTTATGTAATTTACAGATCTTCACAATATAGAGTAAGACTGAATGTTTTTGGCAATGGAAGCTAACTCAAATGTAACTTCCGTTTATTTTAAGTGTAAATGAAAATATGCGTTCTATAATGAACTGGGGCCCATATGATTGTTTATGCGTTCACTTTTGAGCATATAGAGTGCAAGCTTTTTAGGAATGTGTGGAAAGGGAGATTGGAAATGATTTTTACTTTTCTGAAATTAACCAAAAATCCTCCAAATATGCCCTAGTCAGCTATTTCAAAGTACCGTTTTTACTTGGTTAACAATGTACGTTTTGATAACCTGTCAGGAATGAATAAAGTATTTTTATTTAAAGGTAAAATTGTTTTATGCTTCCATGAATATTTTGCTTCTCTTAGAGCATATTCATAGATGCAATACTAGGATCCCTCCCAAGACACTTGGGAATACTTTCTCAGAACTGATTTTGGCTGATATCAAGTAAATCATTTCCTAGGAGCGAGAGGGAAATTGTTAAGAACTCACTTTTTGCTTTAGGTTAATCTAGCAGAAAGAAGTGCAGGGCTTTGTGTTCATCCACTGTTTAAAGTTGAATGATGTGAATTCTCATTTTCTGAAGTGGGGAGAATGCCATCAACATCAGTTTGGATTTCAAAACTACATTTCAGTTTGGGGTTTAAAAAATGATCCAGAATCGATTCCATTCTCTAGATTTTTCTGAACAAGAAAGCAATGTAAAGCAGACATCTGGACATTTAAAATTTATAAAAATTGCGTTAAGCAGCATTTAATTTTTGTTTCCTTTTTACTGCTGAAAAACTTTAAAAAGGGATTGCTCAGGCAATCATGTGTTCAAGTGTCATGGAACCATCTAGTACTCTCTCCAATTAAATGGAACCCATGTAGAATGTGATCCTGAGTAAACAGTAGCCACGCCTGTTCACTATCACGAAGGCTCAGCCTGCTTGGGGGCATGTTTTGACCACCTTGCTCACTGACCCCGTGATTGATTCTCCATGTGTCCTTAAAACAGCATAGTAGGTATGTTATCTCTGATGGTTAATCAAACTGAACAGCCCTTGATCAAACTTAAAGATACAAAATCTCTTTGATTTTTAAATGAATTTTCTATAGTTTTACTAGTTATTTAAGTTCAGTTAGATATAGCATAGGGGGAAAGAGCCCTCCTCATCTTTGCACTTGGAGTTGCAAACAGACCTGTCTTTTGACAGATTCGGTTTATAAATCCTATTTAACATATATCTTCACAATGTAATCTCCACGGTCCTTTTGCTCTCTGTGCACCTGTACCTGCTAGCCACAGAGTCTGGGTTTGGGAACCAGAAACCTGCCTCAGAAAGGCTCAGTATCAAGACTCCGTGTGTTGCCAGTTTAACCGAGATGCTCTTGTTTTGAGGTGTTGATGTAGACTATGTTTGAACACTTCTGCATTATTAAGTATCTTCGGTTTTTTTCTTTTTTAAAAATGTCTTTTCCAACTTTATGTCACAGTGACACAGTAAGAAGAGGGTCAGGGAGGACCCTTAGGCTGCCAGCTCGGCACTCACTCGGTAGATAACTTGGCCAAGACGTTACATTTCTCTAAGCCTCAGGGTCTTCTGTAAACTAAGGGGTTTTGTATGATAAGGCCCAGCAGAGGTTTTTGGATGTTCAGGATGTGTGCGTGTGTGTGTGTGTGTGTGTGTGTGTGAGAGAGAGAGAGAGAGAGAGAGAGAATGATGGTGTGAGATATAGTGTTCAGTAGAGTGTCCCAGACTGGTGACACCTCAGGCGGTGGCGCTGAAGGGGAGCACTGAGGTCACACCACACACGGTTGCCACGGCCCCAAAGAGCTCTTGGATCTCCCAGAGTCTTGCGTGTCTGAGTGGCCACAGTACCTGTGTGGTTGACTTTTGACGTGCTCTTCTGCATGGAGTAGACTGCGTGTGTCCACTTGTCACTGCATGGAGGCCATACAGGTGTCTCCCCCAGGAGTCCAGGTGAAGCGAGGTTTAGAACAGCACAGTGTTACAGAGACTTGTGAAGACCACTTTATAAAGGCAGTGAAGGTCCTGGCAGTCCCTCCTCTTGAATGGCGTGCACCCCCAGTGTCCCTTCCTGTCTGTCCCCAGATCCCTATTATTTACGAGTAGAACATCTTGTAATACTTGCCTTTTAGGATAGACGTAATACATCATTTCTTCTGGGCATAGCAATAAACTTTCATTTTAGTGAAGTTTGGGTCCACTTTGGATTCCCACTTTAAGCACATGTATTTAACATCAATATTTTTATAATGCAAGACTCACTTTAGGAAATCTTGCCAAGTCGCAGTGTGCCTAGAATAGCATAAATACTAAAAACCAGTGTTTCCTGTGTCACTTTTAAATGGTATTAAATATTTCCAGGAGGAATATTTCTGGTTCTCTCATTTAAAAAAGGGTGTTCTGTAGGGTCGGTTCCTTTGTTCAGTTTCAGAACCGCCTAGATCACCGTGTCTGCTCCGGTGCAGGGGCCGCTGGTCCAGAGGTGTCCTGCCTCCCACGGGTGGGTTTGGGATTGGGTTCTGGGCACTGTGTGTACCCGGGCCAGAGCCGACAGGCAGCAGGCAGTGCTGACTTCCAGCAGTTGTAAATGAGCACCCTCCACTACGTGGTTTCAGGGTTAACAACTGTCGTAACATTAAATTCTGTAGATGTGAACAGCATCGTGACTTCAGAGAAATCAGTGGCCTTTGCTTCCATTTTCTTACACCTGCATCGGATCGTATCCCTCAGAGAGAGATGGGGAGGTGTGTGGCAGGGCTGGTGTTCATGGTGAGCAGTTACTCTGTGTCCCCTCACGTCGTCTTGACCTACCTAAGACATTAGGGCCAGTGTCCATAGAGTTCTTTGAGCCTGAGAGTAAGGGACCATCAAAAACAAAGTGATACTCTTTTGTACCTGCAGATGCATCCATTGGTCGTACCAGTTAGTGTCAAGTAGAATAGATCAATTAGAAATTTGTGACTCTTAGGTTTAACTAGGAAGGTTATTCGTATAGCGTATAGTTCACGTAGGGGGGGAAATCTTTTATCAAGCAATCTTCTCTTTACTGGAAGGTATAGTCAGTCTTTCCAGAGAAGCCTAGTTGAGTGCTTTAATGCCAATTTATTTTTATCTCCATATTTCCAGGACCTCGTAGGCCCACCACCCCCTTTAATAGACCTCGTAAAGCAGAGCTGCCGTAAGTCCCCACCTTCCGTGGGGAGTACACCTTCCTTAGATCCTGTTACTGTATGTCAGACACAGAAAAGGTGTTCTAACGCACTGTCAGGACGGGCTGCTTTGGGGATGGGAAATTTGGGTTTCAACAATTCACACTTTGAGATGTCGGTGGTTTTCAAAAAAACACGGTGTTAGGGATTTTTGCCTCCTGTACCAACCATGGGCACTGTGGTCCCAAGCGGGTGACTTTGTAGCAAGTGCCAGAGTGCTCGCTGCTGTGTGTCGCGAGGTGGCAGATGTGCCGTCCTCGGGCCCTGTGACCCCTCTAGTGCTGCGGGCGGTGGAAATAGCGGCCCCTCCTTTAAGAAATATGTTTACTTTGCCGTTTCACATGTATTCCGTATGTATGACATATGGCAGCTTCCAGTTGGATTGGTCTTACATTGTAGAAGTCGCCGGTCACATGGGACTGGTTGCTCTTTCACTGTGGAATTTGGGACGGGCCCCGAGTTCGGCTCTTCTGCGAATCCATCCTGAGTTACTTTAGAGACTGAACTTAACCTCACCACGGTGTTGTATCCTCGTTGCTAAGTTTCCTAATTTCCCTGCTTAAGATAATTTTGGATGTGAGAATTTAAGAATACTGCTGCTGTACGAGTATTTTTGTGGAAATGTAACCTGTCAGTGTGACTATTGGAAATATTATGAAATGAGTACCTTGGAAGAAAATTAAAATATTTACTCTTTGGAGTTCGGTTTACACACTATTGTCTTTCGCCAAGAACTGTTCCCAGAGCCTGTGTGAAACACTTCTCGGGGCGGGACGTAGGTCTGTGTCAGATCCTGTTACTGAGAAACTGTTCCTACGACCCCGGTGCTTGTGATGGCAAATCATGTGTCCTGCTGCCCGTTTCTGCGATATCTAGGGCATGTGGTGTTAAAGTTCGCCACCCCACGCCACGTATTAATCACTCTGTTATCTCAGCCCTACAGGGTGGACGTGGGGCAGACGTACCTTGTAGTGTTGATCTGAGGGACCTAGATAAATACTTGATTAATCCATTCTATATGGGGGAATGTTTTTACTTGTAAAAGAGAAATTTTAAATACTTACAAAGGCAGTGCTTTAAAAGGGGTTTTGATAGGACAGGTGTCACTATGTAAAACCGCTCTGAGCTATCAGGGAAACGCCACTTCACACGTGGCTCCTGAAGGAGGGATGGGAACCTCTGTGGGTGTTGTGCGCGGGCTCCTTCCGTAACCTCAGGGCCCCTCTGAGGGGCAGTTGGTGTAATCACTGTTTTCCAGAGGAGGAGGCTGGTTCAGAGAGGTCAGGAGCCTTGCTGTGGTCACGTTGTGTGACCCCCAAACCCCACGCTCCTCCTAGGACTTCATTTAAGGGGAGCCTGCACAGTTGTCTGAATTAGTGAAAACTCCTCACTAATTAGGAAACTGAGAAAGGAATTTTGCTAGAAGATTAAGATTCACGATTCCTAGAACACTCGAGCCAAAGGCAACAACAAACTTGTTTCTCCATCTCTCACCTGCATCTCCAGCCCTGCTCCCCTCTCCTGGCTTGGACCAGCTGCTCTAGTTGCTGGTTCTGCCCACATTCCTGTATGAAGGGGTTAGAGCCACTTGGAGGTTTTTTCTTTCTTTTCTTTTTCTTTTTTCTCTTTCTTCCTTTTCTCTCTCTCTTCTCAGGCCCCACTCAGCATCAGTTAAATAAAAATCTACAGACAGGGCTAAGTCATGGTCTCTCCACCTTAGCAATCCTGACGTTTGGGGCTGGATAATCCTCCATCAGGGAGGGGGGACATGTTGTGCACTGCAGGATGTCTAGGTGCACCCTTGGCCTTACCCAGTAGATGCAAGTAGCACCTCTCCCCAACTGTGAAAACCAGAATGTCCACGGATAGGGCCAAACGTTCCCTGGGTGCAAAATCCACCTGGAGCAACCACTGGGCTCACAGTGCCTCCTCTGGGGGGAATAATGTGCCTCCTGGAGCTAGAACCGTGCCTGAGAGCCTTCCCAACATTCCTTTCTAAAATGCTCCCTCTGCCTGCTTCCTCGTCCTTTTCAGACAGGGCCAGCCACCCTACCTCTTTATTCTCCATTGTAGCACATGTTCCTTTAAACATAACAAACCTTTGTGGCCCTCCTTTCATCAGTCCACACTGACTTGCCTCAGGGTTTATTGTCTGACACCCTCCGTGAGGGCAGGGCACACACACCTGGCACAGGGCCTTGCCCAGAATCAAGGCTTCGGGGCCTAGTGACTGAATGAAGGAACGAATGAACTTAGCAGTCCTGTAGTCCTGCACGGTCACTTTGCAGTCGAGGATGAAGTCCAGAGAGGCAAAGTTATGTGCCCAAGATCACATGGTTAGTGCTCGAAGATGCCTTCTATTCAGTGCAGTTTTACTGTTCCTTGGCTTTAGCAATGAGAAGTCATACAAATACACATAGACGAAGTAGGTGACGACTCTGCGTGTGTTCAGTATTTACTCTGTGACTGATGTGCTCAGCATCCATCCGTGTGGCCTGCACACTCTGCGTCAACAAGGGCCTTGCAGACGGCCACACGGACAACTATAGGGAGGCCGTAAGGGACTGGCTGGCCTAGCATAGGTGGACATGGCCCCTGGGAGCCTCTTTGACTCTCAGCTCAGGGTCTGTCCTGGGCCTCAGCCAGGAGTCCGTGGTGATTTCTCTCCCCCCGAGAAGCAAGTGAAGCAACACTAAAGCCTCCTGGCAGGCTGGAAGGGAGAAAGTGCAAGACTCCAGAACCTGCAGCTGAAGGAGGGGCTGTCTGGTGGCAACGATGACCTTGCATGCAGGGAAGTAACCAGAGGGGCCAGAGGAATAAATGCCACCTGCAGGCTCCTACCCTCCCATCTGCCCCTGGAGCCTCGGGAGCAGCAGATCAGAGCCTCCCAGCACTCGGGCATCACCTTGTTGCTGCGCTATTCATCCCGCAAGTGACCTGCTCAAAGCCACACAGTCTACCAGCCAAGGAACCCTCGTCGCTAACGACAGAGGAACCCCCCAATCCCAGCCGCGTTTCATTCACGTAAAGTCCAGCTGCTGCTCCTGAGTATCTGGTAGCTCTCCTCAGGTGGTGATGGGGGAGCCCAGGCTCCCCCTTCCTTGTGGCTCTGCCTCCCCCGGAATAGGATGGGGGGCTGGGGAGAGGAAGAGGGCAGCTCCGAGCTAGAGATGTCTGCCCGCGTATTGTTGGTCAGAATCCTGGCACGTCATGGCACCCAGCATGAAGGGAACCTGGCAGCGGGGTCCCGTTGGTCTAGGAAGGAAGGAAATTGGGGTTGACGAGCACCTGGCCTGACTGCTAACATGTAGCTTGTAATTGAAAATTTGAGTCCGGGGATGTCTGACTGCAGCCCCACACTTAGCAGTACCCTACTGGAATTATAAGTAGTTGCACTCGTAGATCATTTGCCACTATTGGAGTTGGATTTTTTTTTTTCCTCCTGGACTTGTTTATATTCCTGAAAGCAGTTCCACATGGAACAAATTAAATTCAGCAAACAAATCTGCTGAGTCGTGAGGCAGGGTAGTACAATGCAGTAGTCCTCACAACTTGTCTGCATATTGGAGACGCTGGGCGATCTCTTAACAGTTCCAAAATTCAGGTCACACCCAAGATCAATTAAATCATAATACCTGGGACTTATTTTTAGAGGTCCCCCAAGTGATTTGTGCACAGGCAGCTTTGGGTACTACTGGTATAATGGCTAAAAATACAGATTTTAGAGACTGTCTAGGGCTGAACCCAGGCTTCAGTACTTGTTAGCTGTGTGGCCTTGGGGAAGGTGCTTAAACTCTCTGTGCTTCAGTTTCTTCTATGAAACAGAGATAATACGATTGGCATGAGGATCCTGTGACTTAATACATGCAAAGTGCTTAGAATAGGGTCTCCTACGCTTGAAGTATCATGTGAGCATTAGAGTTACTGTTTGCTGAATGCCTACTATGTGCCATGTCCCAGAGTTGAAAGGTGCCCCCTTGCTCTTGGGGAGCTCAGAACCCAGTGGGAGGACATCAGTTAGACCCAGCTAATCATTCCAGCCATTTGTCCCTTATAAAATGGAAATGAGAAAGCAAGTGATAATTTGCAAAGCCGAGACAGAAACCACACAGGGGCGCTGTAGACTTGGAATTCCTGCTTCTAAGACACCACCTGGTCTCCCTTTTTCCCCAGCCATTCAGATGTCTTGCTTCCCTGGCATTAAACACAGATCTGGGGAAGCCTTGGGGTTGTGGGGGGAACCGGCTCCCTTTCAGCCTGATGTCCAGGATTCCCTGGTTACAGGGAAATTTGACATGGAGGGTCCATCTGGGGTAGCATTTGGAAATGAAGGTCAAAGAAGGTGCTGGTGGCACAGTCGTTTGGGTTCAGGGGCGGCTGAGAAAAGCCAACCCTGCCATGTCCTTACCGTAACAATTTCTAGACTATCTGCAGAGGGCAAACCAATCTGTTAGATTCAGATTCCACTGAGGAATAAAGGAAAGCATGGCTGCTTGGTGCAAGGTACTAATTCCGCTTCCAAAACCCTAATGTGAGCATTTGTCCACCCAGATGGGGCCCAGTTATTTTTAGGCTCTACCTCCAAAATGCGTTTAACGCTTAGCAAAAGTTAAGTGCAGCCCCTCTCCCTGCTCCACTCTGCTTTTAACATCAGTATCGATGTCACAGTTCCATACGATCCCTCCCCCCCCCTTTCATCTATGACGGACACTCCTCTAACGCCAAATCAACACCTCTCTTCTCCATCTCAGCTTGAAGTTTTATTTTAAAAATTTTCCCCTTCATAATACACTATTGTCTTCAAAACCCTTTTAAGGATCTCTGCGTGGCTCAGTGGTTGGACATCTGCCTTCGGCCCAGGGTGTGATCCCGGGGTACTGGGATCGAGTCCTGCATCGGGCTCCCTGCATGGAGCCTATTTCTCCCTCTGCCTGTGTCTCTGCCTCTCTCTCTCTCTCTGTCTCTATAAATAAATAAATAAATAAAATCTTTAAAAAAATGCTTTTTGGTTCTAAAGGCTTTTCTTAGCCTTTTATGCCCCATTTTGGAGTTTTAGCCACTCTCCATCCCAAAGACTGAGTAAGTCACTTTCCTTTGCTGCATCCCGGTTTCCCCGTGATTCACCTGCCCGATAGATCCTGCCCAGGGGAAACACCGGGTCTGTCATACACCCGCTTAGATGTGCGAGTCTGTTGACCGTTTTGCTCTTGCACAAGTGGTACCTACTAACAACCCCCCCCAAACAAAAACCAATCATTCAAACATTTTATTTTGAAGAGCTCTTTAAACAACTGTGTTCCAGAGAAATCGTTGCCTTTTCCCATTTCTATGTCCCAAGAAGCTCTGGAACCGGGTGGTTGGGCACCTACCCGGGCCCTGGGAACGTGTGCAGCGTCCGAGGGGAACCCGGCTGTGCCCCGGCCGTGCCCTCGAGGTCGGCAGCTCTGCTCGAATTGCAGAGAATTGCAGAGATGTCGTTGAGCTTCACGACTGACCTTGCCCCACAGAGTCCCCTGGGGGGTGTCGCTGCAGGCTAGGGGGCAGGTTGGGGCTTCAGGTCATGGAAGTGCACTTTATATTCAGAGGAAGGCTGGGGGGGCGCTTTTTCCTGCAGGGGGCGCTGAAGGTGAGCCTGAGCCCGAGCCTGCAGCAGGTGCAGGCCGACCCGACGCCCCCCAGGGCAGGAGGGTGCAGGAGGGT